GTGTTACATTGTACAGAGGCATTAAGTGCCATAAATGTGCACCTCTGTATACCCCTTCGGAGATAAAAGGCGTGATGTAATGTTATGTGTCTATGTTGTTAGTTGCATTGTGATCAATAGATTTGAAGGATTTTTGATTAAAATAGTTTATTAATTCGATCGTTACTATTTCATCCTAGTATCTTATTACACGCCCATCTTAAAATAGACTATTGCAACTAATATCATCAGTATTTTAGACCAACAAGGAACATTATCTGATGCAAAGACGCTAACTCTGCATGACTTTCGTCCAAAACAACTGACACTTAGAATTGATCTCAAAAACAAAGATAACACAATCAATACACATCTATCTCAAAAGATTTCTCTCCTAAGCTAAAACAAGATAATAAATAATGTATTACTATCGCCAAATCCTTGTGCAAAAACATGTCAAGATTGTTTTTACCTAAAATACAATAGTTCAATTTTAAAATAGTTTTTTTTTAAATAAATAAAATGTTCGGTTCCGGTTTTGGTTCAAATGCGTTCACGGTAATGGCACTGCCGGTATTAGGACCTCAGATTGTGACTGGAGCGATATTAGCTAGAACTGTGACGTCTGTATCCTGTGCTGCTGGCCAGTCCACGAGCTATGGAAATAACTTTCATTATAAGGTACCAACACAACTAAATAATATTAACACAGAAAACCCCCTCATACTGAAAGGTCACTTAATTCTGTCATTTTGCAACGAATTTGTAATGAGCAGTTGTACCCAAATACCATTTAGCGCTTGTCTACATGTAGAATAGAAAACCAAAATATATGGAACTAGCTTCTGCCCGCGACTTCGTACGCGTACCATCCCATTTTTTCCCGTCCCCGTTCGTGATTTTCGGAAAAAAGTAAAACAAAAATTGTTGTTAAAAAGTATCCTTTGTCGGTCTCCTGGCTCTAAGCTACCTCCCTACCAATTTTCAGCCAAATCTATTCTGCCGTTCTTGAGTTATAAGTGGTGTAACTAACACGACTTTCTTTTATATATATAGATTAACGTAAATTTTGACACTTGTCAGTGTCATTCGCATACATTTAGTTTCCTACTCTCTCTGTAGACAAGCGCTAAATTGGCGTCTGGATAAAAGCAACAAAACTATACTTAAGCGCGACTTGAAATTGAGTGATGATTGAGTATTTCGACATAAGTCATACCTCTAGAATAAGTTGTCGATAACACGTTGGCGACTTCAAAGACGGTGTCCATGGTCAGATGGTCACCGTTTTGAATGCTTAGTATTCGGTAACCCGTCTGTTTAAGCCCCTAACGACCCTGATTCTTTTTTTAAATTAAATTCGATTAACTGATCGATTCTATTTTATATTTGTGCATGAGACAAAAACGTGATTTACCTATGTATTATGTATTCGTGCATTATTTCGATAAATGTATTTGATAATTGCAATGCTTTATCTGATAAACATTATACTTGCACTCATTAACTTGACGCCCTATGATAAATAATTTTTATATCCTGTATGTTTTAATTGATCTCACGTAATACGTTACCCAACTGTGTATCATTAGATGGTACTTTGCACCTATTTTAAACACTACTAAGATACCTGTAAAGTACCTATCTATAGGCTATCTACTTAAGTAAGTAGTCTACGTATATCTAGTATCTAATCTTTGCTGCACATCCAAAACTCTGCGGGTTTGAATGTTATCAAGTCAGGTGAAATTGCTATCAAGTATCAACGCTTTAAAATCTCTGAGCCTTACGATAATCAACAATATCTATCCATAGATTTGTATTATATCTGTATCTAAGGTTAAAAATTATCTTCCAAGTACTTACTTACGTATGTAATAGGTAATGTTATTCCCCGGAGCTACCTCATCATCATCATCAGCATATTGGCCAAACATCCTTTTTTTGACGGGCGAATATCATTCAATGACTTCGCCCGCCTGGGTGAGGCGACAGGGAGTGTTCCTACTCCTGCACTTCGAGCCGGAGCCCCGGCAACCCGTTAAGTCCACCGCGGCTCCGTATCGGCATCAGCCCACTACCACTTCTGCTTACTAATCATTTGGGTCATTTCATTAACTCTGGTTCTCTAGAACAAGATTAATTAATTACCTATTCTTAAAACCAGTGACATTAATTACTGCTTTTACAGATTATTTATAGCTTTGACCGATTTTTACTTTATGAATATTTACTGGTTAAATTAATTCTTTAGTCTAATACTTTGAATAGGTATAGTAGCACTTTCTAGACTTGGCAATGTAATGTAAGAAACCCGCCACTCGCCATCTCAAAAACGGCGGAACGAATTTTCGTACATTTTCATATTTCATTGAATCATTATTACAATGTAGGTAGGTACCTAGAATTTCCAATTCCAATTATGGATTCAAATTTCAAGTACGTAGGACACGTAGGTATCAGGTATAATTAAGTGTAAATAACTGTTTATAGAAACATCAGGAAAACCGTAGTACTGAAATATAAATATTATTTAACCTCTCAGTTGGGTACTATGTTGGGTACCTAATGTGCTTCATTATAATGACTAACCTTAATTTAGGTATACCTGGATTAATTATAATTAGATAAATAAACCTAAGTATAATACCTGTGTTGTTAACTCGATACCTATATTATATTTATACCGTAGAGTTACTATTATAATAACTTGGTGATAAGCCGGCCAAGTCCAGCATAGAGGTATGAATCCAGCATAGGTGGAATGAAAAATATACAAAAGTTAATTTTCTGAAATTAACTTTTTTATGACTAGTTTATCCTTAGGTATTTAGGTATATTAGATAATTTAAATTCATGTGGACTACCTTCACGGTACCTACGTTATGTGTAACGAATAGAATCATAACACACGATCAATTGTTTTGCAAATATCTTTCAAGTTTCAGCTGTCGAATTGTCTAAAATTCGTCATAATATTCTTTCAACATAAAAATGAGTCAATACTATACGTTTATTTTTTCTTACGTGCTAAGAAAAACTACTGTCTTTCGAGTATTTAGGTTTAGAATTCAATTCGTGTTAATAATTTATGGTTTTATGTTTTCAAAGTCAAAATCATTTATTTCAATTAGGCCATAATGGCACTTTTGAACGTCAACAAAAAAAAATCATTTAACAATTTCATGGTAGATGTCCCACCCACACGCACGAAGCGCTTCGCATCAAGCTTCCTTGTGCGTACTGCTACTGCTACTGTTAAGGAGTGGAGTTCTTTGCCTGAATCTGTATTTCCTGAAAGGGTGTCTTCAAGGCCCGGGTGAATAGGTTGCTTTTGGTTCGACGTGTTCCATCGTAGGCTACATCATCGCTTACCACCAGGCGAGATGGTGGTCAAACATCAGTCCCATCTAATATAAAAAAAACATGTATCACAATTTTACATTCATTAGGTACCTACTGGTAAGCATTCGGTTTTATGTCTACTCACAATACGTATTATGATAAACCGAATTACGTATTTACAATACGATAATATCAATTTATGAATTTATTTATTAAGTAATTTCTACAGAAATGTTTATAGCTTTATTTGCATGTGATAGATTCATTTCATCGTCGCCTTTTTATTACCACTTGTGTTTATTTATTACATAACAGTGGATTTGAAGTTAATGATAAATAGTAGACAAAAGTTGGCCCATCAAATATATTTATCTACCTATATAAAACCTATACATATGCAGCTATATTACTTTGACAACAAAAAGTGATTTTCGTCATCTAATAAACTGCAAATATAGATAGGTACTTACCTACTTACTTAGTTTTTAAATTAAGTACATTTACTTAGTTAAGATAATTTTAAGTCATATCGCCAATTTAGACGAGTATAAAAATTTAAGGCCGAAACAAAATAATAAACAACTAAGGTAGGTAACTAATAAAATGTAGAAAATTAATTCCTGGAGGGTTCCATATACCATCATAGACAATTTTTTTTTTTTTTTTTACTTTTATTATAATTTCTTGCCCATTTTACGCCAGTCACACAAACTCAATTTAAAATCATTTAATTTTAAAACACACCAAAATATTTCTCATTGATTTTTGTAGGAGGAAAAATCAAATATTCGTATATATCGTACTTATTCGTTCGGAATAAAATAATTGCCAGAGTCAAGGTTGCACCAATGCAATGTCATTGTTAATTGCGATCGTACACCTATCCTCACCTGCAATGCATATGTATGTAGGTAAATACGACTGTGTAAAAACGTTTGATAACTTTATATAAACCTTCTTTTATCATATCTATGATATTACAATTTTGGGAAAAATACAAAAAGACGAGTTGAGTAAGGTACCTACTAACTGGATTTATTTTATTAAACTGAGAACAAAAATAACTTGATGCTCCTGATTATCATAAAAAGTATTCCTTCCTTAGATCAGATTAGGATTGTTTCCTTCCTGGCGTCCACTATTTAAGTATAATCTGTGTAATATTTTGTACCTAGTGCCGTGGTAGTTCGTCACATCATCAAACAAAGAGCAATAATAATAACGAATGTAGGTAAACAAGAAATCATAACAAAGGTATGGCAGTGCTTAGATAGGGAGGTACAATAAAAATGCATCAATTATGATCTTAATCGGTTGTCCTATTAAAATAATTCTGCGGGTCATTACGCATGACATGACATGTGATTAACAACCTGTCCTAGAACCTATTAAGTATATTTCCCTCGCTAAGTGCACTAAATTGAGAAAATCATCTTCTAACAAACACGCCTGATAATTTTTCCAAGCAACGTGTTCCTATAATACTTCACTTTGCTAATCCGTTAAATAAGTCATAGATTAATTTTGTGTTTTGTATGTATCTATTTTACACAAAATATAATTTTACTTATTATTGCTTACAATTTCTCTTTAATTAAACAAACAATATTTTTATAAAATATTACCAAAAATGTGTAATAGAATATTTATATACTTGCAACACCGGTATCATGTGTCACTGTGAGATGGTGCTGTCATTTGTCAATTCGCAATGTAACGTCAGCTGTTTTGCTGAGTGTTTGCGTACATTCTGTAAATAAACAAAGTATTATTTATTAGAAAGGCATGATAAGAGGTTGTGTTTGTGTTCAGTAATTAATAAATTCCGTCCATAATGAGGTCGTCACTATATAGGCGTAGGGGAAGTGATTCCGAGCGCGAACCTTTGTTAGCAGCTATTCCCGCCGCTGGACTTGGACATAGCTTTCGAGATGAGGTATACATGAATTTCTTTTTTTTAAATTCAAGTGGGCCCTGCATTTTTAAAACCTTTTTCGAACTTCCTTTTGCGAAAATATGTAACAATTTTATTCTGTTTCATGGGATTAAACTAGCATAATATTCCATTTGCGCACATCTTAATTATTTTTTATAACTTGTTAAACACCGCGTAAAAAACAGTGCAATTACTGAGCTGAGAATCAAGGTTTTACGTAGTTATGCGGGTGATGAATGTTATTTATAATTTCATTTCAGAAATAGTTCTGAGTTTTTCAAACTTAGGTAATTGTCTGATATCCTGTTCATTTTGTGCTATGGGTATAAAATTGTATGTTATGGAAATATCCTATAAATTATTAATTTTAACTAGTTTTACCTTAAAATTCTGAGAAAGTATTTTTTATTTCTCCGCCTCTTATCATTAGTTTTTACTTGATAGGTATATCTGAATGTCATTATTTCACATTAGCTATTAACTTAATCATTGCGTAGTTCTTTTTTAATGTTACATGGTAGCAGTAGTCAGAGTTAATTTCAAATTTCATAGTAGGTATCAGAGAATATTGATTTCAGATTTGTCTAGTCATTATCTAGTTTTAAGAATGTTGGTACATTTTGGCTTTTGATTTGGAAATAGTTGTAGTTTAATAGGCTCACCCCCTATTATATGGGACTCATAACATAAATAGTGAAAATTGGGTGTTACATTGTACAGTGGCATTAAGTGCCGAAATGTGCACCTCTGCCTACCAATTGTTCATATAAAAGTCACTGATAGCTGCTTGGGGATTGAGCAGTTAAGTGCATAGTCCCTATTAGTCAGCACTTACAACACTATGAAATACCCAAGGCAAAGATAATAAGAAAAGTATCCACATGTGAGATAACTAATTGTTGAATAAGGTATCTTTCATCAACAACCTATAAATGCCCACTGCTGAGCAAAGCCTCTTCTCACACGGAGAAGGTTAGAGCATTAATCACCACGCTTACTCAATGCGGGTTGGCGATTTCAAACTTATAATTAGAAATTATAAGTTCAGGTTTCCTCACGATGTTTTTCCTTCACCATTTGTCAGTGGTGTCTAAATAATCTTAGAAAGTACATATAACTCGGAAAAAGTCACATTGGTACTTGCCGTTGGTAGGTTAAGAACCCGCACCCTCATGCATGAGAAGTGGGCGTCTTAAACCTCCGGGCCACCACGACTGTCTTTAATTCTACCTAAAACACATGAACTCCAAAAAATGTCTTCCCTAAGTAAAAACATAACAAAAACACCAAAATACTGTCAACAGATTCAAATCTTGTTTTATCAGTAAAAGCTTGACTGATAACATGATAAGACAATGTAATACCTCCAAATTGTTTTAAAGACAATACAGGAATTATGATTTAATGTTTACAGAAAAACTAAAGACGGCTATTGTTAGCTGTCAGGTATTTTTGAAATGCATAAATCGGCATTGTATGTATTAAATAAGAACAATGTATTTATTTTTATTTAAATATCATAATTTATATAACTACATAAATATTTACAACTTAAAACTTGTATTAAATTAGTTCTATGTTATAATGAGACCATTTAATTCCTGTCTAATGTTTATATGGTCTCATTATAACATAAAACCAATTTAATTTGACCACTCATTGTTGTAATACTAACGTTTATAGAAATGCCCAAATGCCTAGCGTTTACCACATAAGTAATGTGTTGTACAAAAATTCTCCAAAAAAAACTGTTTACACTGTCGAAGACAAGTTTTCTAAAGCCTGAAATATACAACATTAAACCATCATAGAATATATAAATAAAAATGAATTTCCGTTCGTTAGTCTCGCAAAAACTCGAGAATGGCTGAACAATTTGGTTAATTTTGGTCTTAAAATGTTCATGGACGTCCCTGGACTTCCCAGAGTAGGTTTAAAAGGTGAGCATTTTTTAGACGGAACGAAGTTCAGCTAGTCAAGCTAGTACAGCTAGTAAAGAATAAGATTTACATGCCATTAGCCAAGTGGCCCAAACACAGGCTGCTGGCATGGAACTATTTGTGTGACTCACCAGTCACTAATAGTTGTTCCAGTACTATGGGTTGTCGCGGAGAACCTAACGGGTTACCGGGGCTCCGGCTCGAAGCGCAGGAGAAGGAACGGGGTGGTTTTTAGTCAGTAAGAGTCTGACGCTCCCTCCCGCCTCACCCAGGCGGGAGCAGTCATTTGATGATTTTCCCCATTTAAAAAAAAAGTACTATGGGTTATGTTATACCTACAGACATACCTCCAACACAGGAGAGAATCTTTGTTAGGGTGTAACATTATAAAACATTAAGTTTAAGATATTTATTGCTTTGTTTCTTTGTTTCCAGCGTCCAGAGGGTAACGGCACGATGGCGGATATGGGAGTGTCACAAGCAGAGCTGGTGGAGCCCCGGGGGGACAACGGGCGCAAGCTACCGCAGTACCTTGCTGCCCTTGCAGGTATATAAAGAGTACAAAGTCAATATTATCCCACCATTCTCAAGTAGAAGTTTTTAATAATGCCAACAAAAAAATCTCAACATAGAACTGAGTAATTAGAAAACTATCAGTTATTCTAGAGATGTCTGGTTTAATTTCTGATTCAGACAAAAGGAATTATTATTGCAAGATGCCATATACGAAGTCTGAATTTTTAACTGGTGTTTGTAAATAGATTGACGACTGCACGGTTGCCGTGCAACGTGTCGCGGGTTCGATTCCCGCACGGAACAACTCTGTGTGATTCACAGATTTTTGTTTCTGGTCTAGGTGTCATGTGTATGTGAACTTGTATGTTTGTAAACACACAGAAGAATATCCTATGGTGGGATAACGTTTCATAAACCCATAAAATAATACACATAAATATTACACCGTCAGAAAAATACAGTGTTGACGATATGTTCAAATAAAAATGTACTTAGTAGATATAAATAATCTGTCCTGTCGAAATCAAGCACCGGGAAAAAATGGTCGGAATTGTTATCAAAGCATGCTTGATAAATATGGCATTAAAGGGTTATTGTCCTGTTCTCTTTGTTACAATAAAAGTATATAATATAAAAATATTGGAAAAATGTAGCATAATCTGTCGTCGGCGGTATTTCCGAACTGATACGACTTTCAAACCTTCAAGAAAAGAGCGTATTCCTTTTTAAAAGGCCGGCAACGCACCTGTGTTGCGGTTGTCCATGGGCAGCGCTGATCTCTTACTATCAGGTGATCCGTCTGCTCGTTTGTCTCCTATTCCATGAAAAAAATAATATTGGACACGTACACCAAATACAATATAGTTTCCAATATAACTACCTAAGTTTGATGAATAGTGGTCGCCAAACTTTATTACCATTGTAAAATTAGGGTTGATTAGATGCATACTTAGTAATCATAGTATGTCTATGATGTGTAAAGAGGTAAAACGCGGACTAAACCTAGATAGGCAAAGAATTTAACGGCTCTACACTGTGATAAAACACCTGTTGTAGTTTGTTCCATGTCATTATAATTTCTTTTATACAAAAATAACTTTTGAGTACATGCTTATTGAGTTCTTATTTGACTGGTACTGTAGAAACAATCGTTAAAATCGTTTTAATGTAAACTGAATTTTGACACTACATTCCAAAGTACATTTTTCAATAACGCGAATTATATGGCTTAGTGGAAAAAATCAACAAACTGTATGGATTACTAAGTAGGTGTAGAAATGCGCAGTTTCGTATTAAGTTGTTGGTTTAACCAGTTATAGCTATGCTAATTAGGTAGTACCTAGTGGTACTATTATCTTGTAAGGACTCCTACGTGTGGGCGATTGATGTTACTATTTTAAAATCAATTTATTTTCGAACAACAAGGCTACATTGGAGCAAGGGATTAGGAGTTTGAAGATCGTTGGGGATTCAGGGATTGGGGAGATTTGGGAAGGGAAGGGTAATTGGGCCTCCGGTAACCTCATTCACACGACGAAACACAACTCAAGCGTTGCTTCAGTTGCGTCGGTTTTCTGCTCGGCCGTGGTATCACTCCCATCAAGCCGGCCCATTCGTGCCGAAGCATGGCTCTCCCACACTTAAAATATCTTATGTCTTTGTAACATAATGCTAATTGATCAAAATGTTTGTTCCAGCTACCCTGGGAGCGCTAGCTGCCGGTTCCATGCTGGGGTGGTCAGCCCCCGTGATGATCAAGCTGACAGACCCCAACAGTACCGACTACGACTTCTCCGTGACACAACGCCAAGGAGACTGGATATCCTCCGTCATTAACCTGGGAGCTGCCTTCATATGCTTCCCCATCGGACTCATCATGGACGCTATAGGACGTAAAAAGACCATGTTGCTACTCGTACTACCTTTCACTTTAGGCTGGTTGTTAATCACCTTCGGTACCAGTGTAGGCATGCTCATCGCTGGCAGGCTCATCACTGGTGTCGCTGGAGGAGCCTTCTGTGTCACCGCCCCCGCCTACACCAGTGAAATAGCACAAGACTCCATCAGAGGAACCCTGGGAAGCTACTTCCAACTGATGATAACTATCGGTATCCTGTTCGCATACGCAGTCGGTGGCTACGCCTCGGTGTTCGTCTTCAACATCCTCTGTACTTGCATTCCTATCATCTTCGGTGTCGTATTCTTCTTCATGCCCGAGAGTCCCAACTTCTTAGTCGTTAAAGGCAAAAACGACGAGGCGAGGGAAGCGTTGATCCGTCTTCGTGGCAGCGCTTATGACGTAGACTATGAGCTCAACAGCTTAAAGGCGAGGGCGGAAGAAAACAAAAGGAACCAAGTATCGTATATCGCCGCTCTCAAGAAGAAGACAGCTCTGAAAGCTCTCCTCATCTGCTACGCTCTGATGGTGTTCCAGCAACTGTCTGGTATCAACGCCGTCATCTTCAACACCTCTCAGATCTTCTCGGACGCCGGTGCCACAATCGCTCCGACTATTGCCACAATTATTATCGGAGTCATCCAGGTGATTGCCACTTTTATCTCCAGTTTGGTAGTGGACAAGCTCGGCAGACGTATCTTGTTGCTTCTGTCTGCGCTGGTGATGTGTGTGTGTTCGACTGCGCTGGGAGTGTACTTCTTCCTCCAACAGACGCACGGCAGCGAGGCAGACATAGTGCAGGCCATCACGTGGCTGCCGCTGGTATCTCTGTCTCTGTTCATCATCGCGTTCTCTCTCGGTTTCGGTCCCATCCCCTGGATGATGGCGGGTGACCTCTGCCAGATTGACATCAAGGCGTTTGTCGGCTCTACCGCGGGTACCCTGAACTGGCTGCTGAGTTTCACGGTGACGAGTACATTCAACTCCTTGAACGAATCGATAGGCGCTGGCCAGGTGTTCTGGATGTTCGCTGGTATCATGTTGGTGGGCTTCTTGTTCATCTTCTTCGTGATTCCCGAGACGAAGGGCAAGAGTGTGGACGAGATCCAAGTGTTGTTAGGCGGCGAGCCCCAGCAGAGACCTGAGGAGAAGAAATAAAGGCTACGAACAGACTGACGGACATCACATAGTATTTTTGTACTGAGACTTACACTTAGAGGTTTCTTTGGTGTCGCAGTGCTTCGGTTTAAGCAATATTATAATTTTATAGAACCAAAGAGTTACGATGTATCATTTAGATGTACCGTAGGGTTTATTGCTGCGCTCTATTTATTTGTTATTGAACTTTACGGAGTCAATCACTGGCAGCTTGTACCATGGTGCGTGGCGTATTGTTACGAATTCAGTTAAACGTAGAACGAATTTCCTTGACGGAGTAATTGCGAGTAACATGGTAACAATAATAATTGTAATGTTTAGGCTAAATAAGTGGTTCATAGAATGTATGTACCTATATCAATTTGTGGGGGTTTGTGCCCCATTGGTCCACACACTCGTCCCTAAGAAAGAGATCTTTTTATTTATGAAATATTAACTTTTGTAACTTTATATGGAAATTGAGTAACCTGTTTGGATATGTCTTGCAATAGTGGATTGAAAACTGGCTTCAACGCAATGATTGGAACTCTATGCTCTCAAGTTACGTACTTTCTGTTTCAAAGGTCGAGTATCATTGCATAAGATGACTTTTCATTATATTATAACAGTTGAGATGTTAGAACTTCATTGCTTCGGAATTTCGAGAGATTTTAAATATATTCTATAAGAAATATTCGTTGATTGGAGTTTTAAAAACTAGATCTGTTTATATGTACTGGAAAGTGGTCTTATGTATAAAAGTATATTTATAAAGGACCCAGTTGCCTATTTATGTAGAATTTACTTTATATTATATTAGGTATTGATGGTAGATCTGCTACAGAACTTTTGGCTCGACCTTAATGAAGTCTATCATATCGAAATGCCATAATGTTGATATTATTATACAAGTTTATATAGAAAATGCATATATTTGCTAATGTTATCTATATAATAAATATTTATAATTATTATTTAATACCTGTTAAAACAATAACGAAAGTAGCGCAAACATTGTGAGATTTTTAATATAAATAAATAAATAAATTATTTAATGTATTTAATAACATAATTTATTTATTGAAATAATTAATTAATTAACTAACGGTTTTTATTGTAAATTTTTGCTCAAATAACATCTGGATTTTTTGGAATATGAAATATTATGTTTAATTGTAAGCGAATCAAGATTGCATTTATTTATTGGCTTATGATTAATATTTTTTTTAATTAGTGCACTATGCCAATGCAATTGCCACATTATGCCAGTAAGTAATTGTGCACTTATAAGACAAACAAATTATTTATACCTACACTTTGAAATCTATTTCGTTATCGTCCCGAAGTAAAATGGTTCCGTCTTGGGAACACAATAGTTTTACAAAGAAATAAAATGTTTAAAACAAAAAATAACTGATGAACCAATGCAAAAAGCAAACTTCGAAAGCGCATACGAACTCATAGTACATTATCAAAACATCACACCATGTAATTCTCGAAGAGGTATTCCTCGTCGGATGGCACGCGCGATGTGAATAGTGCGTACAAATTTACGTCTAGTGTTTCATGTGCGTATTTCCATGATTTTTTTAAAACTAAAACAATTACATTATTTTTTTTTGTTTTTACTTTATACTTATACGAAATAGATTTTACGATGTATTGTATTGTTCCTAAAGTTATTTTCAAAATGTATATCAAGAATAAAAGACCTGTCTCGCATATTGTAAGAAGAATAATATTATGGTTGTATATATTGTTAATAGATTAAGTTTTATAGTGATAATAAATGTGAAAAATATTTATATTTTGTTACTTTATTATGATACTAGCTTTTACCCGCGGCTTCGCTCGCGATCGCGACACAAAAGTATAAAAAGTAGCCTATGTGACATATACCAATACACACAGCGCCATCTATACCAATACTTTTGTTTTCCCTCGGGAATATCAATTTTTCCGGGTTAAAAAGTACCCTATTATTTAATCCGGACTTCTAACTTTACGTCTGCAAAAATTCAAAGCAATCGGTTGAGTAGTTACGGCGTGAAGGTGGAACAAACAAACAAACAAACAAACTCACTTTCAGATTTATAATATTAGTAAGGATATTAGTAAGGATTATCCTAACAGTTCGATTTATATGAATGAATGTGTAGGTGTATTTTACGTAGGTACCTAAATTACGGTACATATGTATAACGTTTTTCACCAAAGGAGTAATCAGAGGTGCACTGCACATACCTACAATACTTAGTAAAAATTGTAACACCTACTTTCTTCTAGTTATGTTATGAGTCCCACACAATATGGGTGAGCCTATTGCCATTATAATAAGTATTATAAAATTTCAGCCGCCGTGCAATCAAAGAGTATAATAAGTATGCGTGCAATTATCTAGAAATAAAAATAATAAAGAAGCCCTGATAATTTTGCCCGACCGGGAATCGAACCCTGGCTGGCTTGATACCTTAGTTATACACTATAGTCAGAATTTTAATTAGATTCCAGATTTGACAATAGCTACTGTCATTTTGTGAAATAATGATACCACACATAATAGTGTAGTGATGCACACAAAAATCGATAAACAATCGGTGTGTGTGTTTTATAATAAATGTTACAGAAAGTGACAGGATAGCGATAGCGATGACGGCGACAATTTATAAAATAACTTATTACCATAAGACATCTTTATGTTTTATTTGTCATGTTCCTTCATGATTACATTTTTTTATTTATTTCACACACAATTATAAAAGAAAAGTCTTAGATCGTTAATTAATCGTCAAAAGTAAATTATCGGTTCAGAAATATTTAATTTCCTGATATACTTAGTTTACGAGAGTAAAATTATAAACGAGAAGAATCGATCCAGAAATATTGCATTTCCATATCGAATAATTTCGCAACGCCACTATTTAGTACTTGTCATAACGTTGCAACACTGAAATTGTCAAATCTGGAATCGAATTAAAATTCCGAGTATAGCTACTACTATTTTAACTTCAAATCTTAACTAGTTCAATATTTCTTTATAAGTATTTCACTAATAATAAATAAAAAAGTAGTACCTAATATCTTCGGTAACACCCATATAAAAAAAAGTAATTTCAAGGACGTTGTATAATTTCTATTAAAACCTCTTAAACATAATTTCCTAAGAAATAAACTTATTTTACTTACATTTCACATCTAGAATGAGGTTTTCCGAAGATCCTTTACCCAAAGCGTTTCTGACTTCCTTCTTTCAAAGCAGAAAGAAAAAAAGAAATGAATGCGCCAACATTTTGACAAGATCTTGACATATGACTGCTAATATTTATATTGTCATAAACAGCCAAATAGCAGGCACCTACTTATAGCAATGAAAAATTTATTTTAAAGGTTACATTTTTTGGGTATATCCTTCTTTTATACTAGAATGTGTTTAATAAAATACAATGCCGCGTATCGGAGCCCTGTGTAATATCAATGTATTATTTAAAAAACAAGAAAATACGTGGACACAAGGACAGGAGGTATGTAGACAATACCTATACGCATCATCATCATCATATCAGCCACAGGACTTTTACTGCTGAACATAGGCCTCCCCCAATGACTTCCAGATAGACTATAGGTACTTCATGTTCCTATACGCATATTTTTATAGATATAAATATCTAATTCCAATTGTGACTTAAAAAACTGCTGCGCTACGTGTCACGGGACCGCTTTCCGTACGGAACCACTCTTTCTGTGATCCACAGATTATTGTTCCGGGTCTGGGTGTCATGTGTATGTGAACTAGTATATTTGTAAACGTACCACGACATAGGAGAAAATCCTAGTGTGGGGCAACGGTTTTCTTAATTACAGCAACTAATCTGTGTAATTGCATGGGCATTAAATAAAAAAAGAACGTGTTAGACAGACATGGTACGGGTCATGTTGTCCTTATGAAATAGAGCCTTTAGCATACGAAGAAAATTTTTCATGTTAGTCTCATTTCTCTCATATGGGCTACAATTTCAGTGGGTAGGCTACAGTACCTGCACTCCGAAGTCTATTAGAGGACTCAGTGCCCCTTACAAGCGCTGAGGGTGGCCACCAGGGTGGTTTTAGTGAGCTAAAATTCCCACACTCCCTAGTTTTATCCCCAAAACGCTACTCGCCTTTTCAAGGTTCCCCACGTCATATAAGGCCTACAGTAGGTACCTAGTGCATTGATTTCGATCACGGTTCGTCATAGCCTTCGTCATGCTTACATTTCACCTTGTAGGTAACAAACTGAAAGTTTACATTGTATAACTAAATCTGTTATTTTAGCCACATGACGATATAGGGAGCTATGACTATGACAAACAAGACCAACAAGGAAGTCCGAAAGTTTTAGATGAGAAAGCGGCTGCTATAAAAAAAGTTTATTTCTACGATGGAGCAGTGAGACAATATGCTGCTGGACTAGCAGGTAAGTGTTCCTGTAAATTGTATTACGGAGAGGCTAATAAATAATACTACACGTCTGCATCGATACAGTCACAAAGTGCGTATAAAGGTAACGCGTTAGTAGCGAATTATGATGCTATCGTGCTTTTAGTGAACGTCGTCGTGAGCGAGGGTCCTTAAGGCCTGGCCCGATATTCTTATTTAATCCCATAAAAGTTTTTATGGACGGCGCCAGCGCAGACTGCTTATCATCAGGTGATCTATCTGCACATGTCGCTTTATGCCATATGAAATTAATTAAGTAATGACTAGATACAGTCAGAAAGATGCCAGTTTTGAAGCAAAGGCTGAAGAAGTATTATAATAAGGGTCCATAGTAATTGATATTGAGCACGTTAAATACTTATCCTTGTAGGTACCCTTGAGATAGACAGGCCTTTGTTTTAAAAGTTGTGGGTTAAATGATGAGCGTTCAAATGTATGTACCTAGGTACCTATCTACATAATTTAACCTATCTACATAATTTATTTATTTATCTATCTAGCCATCACAATTATTATAAACCTCTCCTCTAAGTAGGATTTATCAGCTTTAATTTCGTTACAGGTGAACTTGGAGCGCTGTCGGCAGGGTCAAATTTGGGTTGGTCGGCTCCAATAATGGTGAAACTAGATGCTCATTATGGAGGCTACAGTTTCCCAATAACGAGGGCCGAGGGGTACTGGATGGCTGCAGTGATAGCTCTCGGAGCCGCCTGCGCCTGCTACCCGATTGGTTTCATTATGGATGCTGTAGGCCGTAAAAAGACATTGTTGAGTCTCACCGTGCCATTCGTAGTAGGTTGGGGTTTTATTACTTACGCGGGTAGTGTAAAAGTACTGCTTATTGGCAGGTTTATCACGGGGCTAGGCGGAGGAGGCTTAAGCGTGACAGGTCCTGTCTATGCCAATGAAGTTTCTCAGAAGAAAATGAGAGGGTCAATGGGAAGTCTCTTTCAATTGATGCTAAGTATTGGAATTCTTTTATCGGTCGCTGTACGCGGGCATGTCAATATCTTCCTTTTTAACTGTTTGTGCGCATGTATACCGTTAATTTTTTGTAGCATTTTTATCTTTATGCCAGAAAGCCCCAAGTACCTGGTAATGAAGGGGAGATATGCAGATGCAAGAGCTGCTTTAGTTAAACTTCGGGGTTCGAAGCATGATGTTGATAGGGAACTACACGAAATTATAGAGAAGGAATATACTTTGAGGAAAAAAAAGGCGAAACATCCAAGTTACTTCAGCCGTCTAAAGCACAGGCCAGCTCGTAGGACTATGCTCATATGCTTTACTTTGATGCTGTTCCAGCAGCTGGCAGGTTTCGGCATCGTGGTTATGAGTGCGCCACGGGTCTTTGCATTAGCAGGCGTTCCACTGCCTTGGACAATTACGACGCTTATTCTTGTCAGTAATCATTTGGTGGCGACAGTTTTCGCAACTCTGCTCATTGATAGAGTTGGGAGACGTTTTCTTTTGCTTCTGTCTGCAATGTTGATGTGTATTTGTGGCAGTACTATAGGGACAGTATTTTGGCTGCAGGAAATCTTAGACATACAAAAAACTGTTTTTAAGTATATCACAAGTGTTCCTATTGTTTGTATTTTCGTGTTTGTTTATGCATATGCTTTAGGTTTTGGTTCAATCCCGTGGTTAATGGCCAGTGAGCTCTGTCGGATGGATATCAAAGCCTTTGTGACCGCTACAGCTGCAACCATAAGTTGGTTCCTTGTATTCGTTTCAAATAGCACAGTACACAGGCTGCTTCGCATTGTAGCTATATATAAAATGTTTTGGATATACGCCAGTTTTACATTTACTGCATTCTTTTTTGTATATTTCGTTGTCCCTGAAACTAAAGACTTGAGCATAGCTGACATACAGCATCTTTTACGCCTTCCAATTGGACACACGCAGACTCGGAAAGGACCAGCATGGTCTGTGACGCTACGTGAGAAACGCTAAGCAGAGAGCGTCACGCCTTAAGGTCTCACACAGTAACGGCACGGTTTCAATCTATCCCAGCTATTAAGATTTTTTGAACATTAAATCTTATGTCGTATGATATAACATTTCGTAACGTAACGTCTATACAAAAAAGACTGACAACGCGTCTCCGCGGCCGTTGGCTTTTCCAAAGTAAGAGACTGTGTGCCTTTAGACATTTTTTTTCAGTCCGGTTCATTGGTTGGCGGGTCCGTGTACAACTACGTATTAGATCTCTTTCACACAAGTACCTACTCCTACCTATGTACCTATCTACTGATAAGAATAATGTTAGGGTGCATCCACATCTGGCGAATGCGCAGCTCGCGAAACGCTCGTGAGCTGATGCGCAGATGTGGTGTGTAAAGCGCAGATGTGGATGCACCCTTAGGTACGTACGTACAATCACAGACAAATTGTATGTTGAAAAAAAAATAGATGCACTATATTTATGTGACCCATTGGTTGATTTACATAGTTGACGGTTGTAGGTATTTGTAACGAACTATATACCTACATGAATAAGTTTTGTACTGTATTGTAAAAGCTCCATCATTTTTTTTTGTGGGCAACAAGGTCTTTTCTTTAGATTTTCAACTCTATCGTTTAGTTGTAAAGTCGAAAATCCAGTTGTTTGATGTGCTGGCCACTTTCATAAACCTGAAACTTCATTCAGCATGTTTAATGAAAATGGTAGGTGACACGTGTGTAATCAAAAAATTGTTATTAGGCAACTGAGTCAGATATTGTGACATTGTTTTTTATATTTTTTTATTTATTAAACTACCTACTGTATACATGATAATATCACGCGTTTTATTCGTCCTAGGGTTAGGTAAAGATAATTAAAATGGTTTTTCCCATCTTCCACCAAATACTGCCTCGTTGGCCGAGTGGTCGCAAGTGCGACTGCCGGGCAAGGGGTCTCGGGTTCGATTCCTGGGTCAGACAAAGTATTACTGGGTTTTTAAAATCTTAGTAGTAGGACGGAGTCTGGAAATGTGCCCGGTATATGGCAATAGGCCCACACCCTATTACATGGGACTCATAGCATAAATAGTGGAAAGTGGGTGTTATATTGTATAGTGGCTATCTTTCCCCGATTACAAATAATAGGAAAGATGCCACAAAAATTCCCATTTTCCCACATTCGCAGGAAGATGGTAGGTACTTTAATAAGTCAAAACGCCATCTTCATTTTTACCAGTTACGTACGTTAATTATTATTGTGCGTTCCATCAAGTCCTGTATAATAGAGGGTGATCCTATTGCTGGAAACCTATACCTAGGTATAGGTATACGTACACCCGATACGCAGCCGCGGAAGGTCTAACGGTTTTTTTTTTTTTTGAGGGGGGAAAATCATCGAATGACTTCTCCCGCCTGGGTGAGGCGGGAGGAGTGTCAGACTCTTACTGACTAAAAACCACCCCGTTCCTACTCCTGCACTTCGAGCCGGAGCCCCGCAACCCGTTAGACCTAGTCGCGGAGAACCTAACCTCACCCGGGCAGGAGAAGACATTGGATGATTTTTCCCCTCAAAAAAAAAAGGTATATGCAATCATATACCTACATGCATATATCACAGGGCATCTACATTATTATCCTATATGTACCTACACCAGGAACAATTCCAGAGTTCAATTTTATTGAGCTATGAGTAGGTACTTACTTCCGAAAATCCAAATACCTACCTACTTAGGTACTTAAACCCATAATCTGGGTCAAATCTGGGGAACCAAACCTGAGACCCCCTCGATCAATGAGGCAGTATAGCCCTCGATCAACTATAGTTATTATGATAAGCAAAGTGTCTTTTTAACTCCAAGAAACACAATGGATTTTATTTTTAATCACTTGGCTGTAAAAGCTGTTATTTCTATTGTTTAATTTTCTGTGGTTAAGATAAAAACGTAGGTACTTAATGTACAAAGTATAAACTATTCGCTTTAGAGTCACAAACAATGGTTTTTTTTTTTTTTTTTTTTTTTTAAGGGGGGAAAATCATCGAATGACTGCTCCCGCCTGGGTGAGGCGGAAGGGAGTGTCAGACTCTTACTGACTAAAAACCACCCCGTTCCTTCTCCTGCACGTCGAGCCGGAGCCCCGGTTACCCGTTAGGTTCTCCGCGACTCCGAATCGGCATCGGCTATTGGGCCCCATCTGTGGTGGTCTGATGGCTCTTTGAGGCGCGCGCGGAACGCGACGCGCCGTACGCTCGGGTCTGTTTCTGGTCGGACGGGGAGCCACCCATGCTCGCCGTCCGCAGGCCCGCGCTTACGGTGGCCGGAGATCGTCCCGCGATCCCCGACGCCCGGTGTGTCCTTCGCGATGGCTGGGTTGCGAGGAGGCAGCGCTTCGCTGCCTCACGCGTCCCGCCTCCTCCTTAGCTAGCATGACTGCTTCGCAAAAGGAGGAGACGGCATCCCAGTCCCCCTCGCTCCGCATCATGGCCTGCACTAGGCCCGGACGCGAGAGGTCGCCATCGCCGATCACTTCCCTGAGGGCACGGCGGTGCTCAGCCCACGCAGGGCATTCCGCTACGGTGTGTTCCACCGTGTCCTCAGGGCGGTCCTCGCAGTGATGACACCCGGGCGTTTCCTCCCGCCCCATCAGACACAGGTACCTCCCGAAACTTCCGTGTCCGGTGAGGACCTGCGTCAGGCGGTAGGTGAGGACGCCGTAGCGTCTCTCAAGCCACTCCTCAAAGAGGGGACTTACCGCTGCAATGGCAGCGAGCCCACACAAACAATGGTAGACTCATGCAAATGTAATTATCTCGCAAAAGGCAAACAATATAATAAAATATTGATGTTCATGAGTAATCGCGTTTCTTCATGGCAAAACAAAACTACAATAGTATAACGCGACACAATATCATGACTGCATTCCATTGCTGGTTTTCTTCTCAATACGGCCTACGATTTCCTAACCAATGAGCAATGTATACTGACCAACTTAAGTTACTCTGTGCGATATGGTTTCAGTTATCTGAGCCCATGTGTCCTCGTAACAAAATACCTACTGCAAATAAATCGCTGCATTGCCATTCACGTCCCGATTGCGGTGAAATATGATCAAAACAACGTTTAGTTACAAAAATAATGTATTCGTTACATTTTATACAAGGTGTACTAAAATATACATTAAAAAATAACACTTATCGTGTGATTGACTTGCAATTAGCTACTAAAGTTAATTTATTGCCCATTTTGAACAAAATTTATAAACTAATTGAGGCAATAGTGACAATGACAAACTTATGCACTAATCTCAAATTTCTTTTCGATTTTACATGTTTGGTGATTTATCTTTGGTGAGTTAGGTAACATGGGGCATAAACAAACATGATTGCTTTAATATACAAAAATATAGTATCTAATATTTAGGTACCTACATATGTAATAAGAATCTATTATGCTCATGTGGTGCCCATTTCATTATGTACAAAATATATTACTTTAATATGTTAGTGAAGATTAAATTTTAATTTCATTAAAATATAGAACATTTACTGAATGAACTATTCTCATTCATAATGTAATATCTTAGATTTTCACCCTATTTCAATCACATTTACAAAACATAAAGTTCATTTGAGACAACAATATTTTAAATAGTTATTCAATTTATCGAGGATAATGTTACAATTATCTATTTATATCTATGTATTCACTGTTGATTTTAAATAATCGAAATGTGGTAAAAACATGACGAATTAAACACAGTTTAGGAGGAAATAATTAAATGACACATTTGCAATATTGGCATTAAATTGTTTGTTGATATCAAAGCTGAATTTTAACTATTGTGCTAAAATTTTGTGACTAGCAAATGAAAAGAGTGTCAGTAAAATTGTAAACAACAAATGTGATACACAATTAGGGTGCAGCCAGTTACCTTGTCCTAATAAAAATGGGACACACAATCATACCTTGTTACACCCACAATTTCACTATAAAAATAAAACAGACAATACCAAACTCTAAACCAATAGCAATAGGGACCATGCTGCTGTGACATAGCTGCCTATCATAAATTAAAATACATAGATAAATAAAATTTATCTAATACACTCTTAAGATAATAAAATGAACTGATTAAATATTTACAGCATGGTTTGTTTACACCATTACAATAAGAATGAGTCTATAAGTTCAAATTTGAACTTCCTCCGCCTATCTTTGAGTACGCACTTCTGTAGAAATTGCAACAGAAGAGAGAATTCATTATTGCATTCAGACGTCGAACTTTGGGTCCTGTAAAGACCCGAAGAAACCTCCTCCAAGTTCGCTTCCCCAATAAACTGTTGCAAGTCACTCTTAGGGAACCCGTCCTTATAATACTGCTTAATAGTATCATAAGCATCCATAATAACAGAAATAAACAAACTGAGCACTACATAAATATACAAACTTATAAAAGAATATAAGTACACACGGCTAAACCACCAAAGCATTGGTGACTTCTTTGACATTATCGAGAATGTCGCAAACATGTCATCTCCGTTTATCAAAGAGAAAAGACATTCTGAGGTCGTCGCTAGAGATCTGAACTTCATGTGGTATGGACCTAAGATTAGCCAACCGCAGAACATGAAGCCAGCATACAGCAGCAAGGCGCAGACTGAGAATCTGAAGATCTTCGGAGCTGCTTTCTTCAACGTAAGTATCACTACATTGTAAGTCTTGAAGAATCCAAGATATCTTAATACTCCAAACCATACAAGGAGGTTTCCAGTTCCGAGGAAGAGGGAACAGACATTCCACTGGTCATTTGCAAACTGGTTCCGTTCAATCTGTTCCTTTATTGCTGATCCCATAATAATTAGAATGTCATTGACTATAATCATGATGTACCAGATATTGAGGAACTCCAGTCTGCCTTCCATACTCAAATCCCTGTTGTAAGCTCTCCTAAAGAACTGTACTGTTAACTCCTTCAATAATTGAGCTCTATAAATGGCTCTACTGCACAAAATAAAAGATATAGCACATATCAAGATAACTAGAATATTGAGTATACTTCTCAGGACTTGATCTATTTTGTTATCTGTAATGTATGCAGTGTCTCCTTTGCAAGTCAATTTGTATGGTTCTGCCTCCAAAATTAGAGACATTTGTCCATCATGGTCTTCATTATCGAAAATTATTTCTATATCAAATCGGTAACAATCTGGAGGAGTGATTGGTCCTGCGGCTCTAAAGTTAATAGTTTTCAGTGAAAACATTAATTTAGCTCGGACCAATGATGCAAAACTATGTTTAAGCCTGCTTTCTCAATGAATGGCTGGGAATGAAATACTTCATCGTTCTTTTTTGTAAAGTTCACACAATTTTCTACTATTTCTGAGTTGAATTCATAACTCTCATTAAAGCCATTGATTATACCTTGTTTGTAGTTGTACTGACAAAATACTGGGGGAGGTTTGATGTTACTTTCATCGTTATAGGAGTATGGACCTATAGCATTCGTTAAAACATTAGAGTACCCTTCATATGCATAGTCCAAAGTATTATAGAATTCTTCAATCTTGTAAACTGCGAGAGGTCCAGCACCAGGAGGGTAGGCATTAATTTCTCTTGTGGAGTCCCAGCCAAGGAGAAATAGATGGGAAAACGTGATCCTGTTGTCCCACGTGTAGTTGACGTGATTATATCTGTTGTGTGCAAACAAACAAAGTTGAAATGTAACTAGTACAATCTTTATCACCTGGACAACAAACTTGTATGGAAACTTCCTCTTGGCCTTCCATTTCTCGATCGGATTCATGAAGAAAAACTGTAGCTTACGTCGCATTTTTTCTTCCATTTGATTGAGCTCGCTGAAGGAAGTCGGTCGCTGTGGGGAATTACCTTGATTATGGTTTACAAGGTTCATTTCACTGGTTCCCGCAATTTTAGGCTCTTCTTCGCCTTCCGAGCATGTCGTCTCTTCCGTGGACGTGATATTATCCATTGTTATAGCTTCTATAATAATTTTCGTTGATAATAAACAAAGGTCAGGTGATATACAAACATTTATTTTCACGTTAAAATGACACTACCTTTGCGTTTGTTATGATATCTATTAAACACTTATTACGAAAATTATTCGACGATAACCTAAAGTCGCTAAATATGGAAAGAATTCAATTATTCTTGATTCTTTTGTTCCAAGGTATTTTGTCGGATACCCATTTATTTTATTTGTCAGTGACACAAGTACACAACATGACACCATCACAGATTTGAGTACGAAATTGGTACGTAAAATATTGACTTGATTGACGTTGACATTTGACAGATTTTTGTTGTCTCTTATTTTTATTTTTGTTCAGTTTCAGTTCAGTACTCCTTTTTTGAAGAACCCAATATTGTAGCACATTGATACTCATGCATTCAATATTATATCGTTTGGCTTTAGCAAGTTCTTTAGAATGAAGGGGACGTAATAAAACAGTCTTAAACTACATAAAACAGAAATACTTCTTCGATACGTAAAAGCTTCATGATTGATGATAATTAATCAACCCCGAAAGACGTCCACAGCTGGACAAAAACCTTCTCCTTGGTCCTTCACGTCGACAACTTGCATCCACTGGCTCGGGGCTCACCGCATATTATTTAATTTGGATCAATTAATGACTGATTGATTTTTCAAATTCAATGAACTCAAAGCCTCAGTTTGGTTTTTTATTCCAGTAACTTTCCGGAGTTTTATGCCCTGTCTATTTTTACTAGTTTATTTCCAAAAATGTTAAGGTGAGTTTACAAGGGTGGTTCTCTATGGTTGTGTTGACAGATGTGGCTACTATCGAGTTGTCAAAATTTTCTGATGCAGTCCGTAGTCTATGGTCAATGTCGTAGATACACATCACGATATTGGAGAAAAGTTCGAAATTTTTAATTTTATGCAGTCAAAAATAGCACAGGAAGCATTATAGAAGTTTGTTTTGCTACACAAACAGCTATGGCTTTAACAGTGGACAAATTAATGAACGACGAAAGGTAAAAAGTGCATTTTATTATCACATACCTACGTGTTTGCTATTTTTTCAAGGGAAAGTTTGCAGTGTAATCTAAAAAGTATTACATATAAAATACAATGAAATTTTGCAGTGTTCGTAGTTAGCATGTGAGGAAAATGTCGTGACGTAACTGAATAATGAAACTAATGTGTTGTGTGAATAGTATAGTGGTAAATTAGAGGAAATTGCAAGTCAAATGTTAATGTAAACTTTTGTAATGTTTACACATTCATTCTTATCCAAGCATCACGCTGTGTTAGTGTCCGTATTGTGTTGTAACGCCTGATTTGTAACCAATAAACTACATTCTAGACAGGATCGAAATTACTTTCTTGAAAAAATACCATTTTATTACTTTGACCATGACCTGAGTGTCATACCCTAATAATTTTTACCAAGGATTGAATTATAATGTAGTAGTTACTTGGCAAACAATTCAATTACAATTCATTTTTTGTTTCCTATATATTGTTTAATTTATATTTAAATAATAGCCTAAAACCATTCACAATGCCACTAAATAAAAAACACCACAATATTTAAAGCATATTTGACTAAAGTTTGTAATTATAATTACAAATAGAATCATTTAGATTCAAAATAATTTTTTTTATAATTATTGACAATGACTTGCGTCAATAGATATAAAAGTAAGATTACCTATTTTGTTATTGTTATCTCTATTAATTTTTAGTCTTTGTTTATCATTACATAATATACCTTATTAATGTTAAGGTATTTTCTAGAAAAATACCATTTTTTTCCTAAATTGTTCTGATGTTTGCTTTAGAAGTAATGAAAACCATGTGTTATTTATGTACTTCCATGATAAATATTTTACAATAACTTTACAAACTTCTGTGGATCACATATTATTATGTTATTTAGATGATGATGAAGAAACCGGGCCCAAATAACTATATCAGTTACAAACTGTTTGGGTTTAGTCAAAATAATACATGTATCTCTAAAACCTGATTCATCATGCATAGTTGTATGGTATGGGAATGGGATTTTTTAAAAATTCAAGTTCTTGATAACTGTTGTATTTTGTTGATTGTAGTTAATGTAATTTAGTTGTGTTGAATGTAAAATTGTATAAAATAGTATTAGAAAGGTAAAGGTTATGTTATTAGGCCATTCTAGACTAGAGGTATACAGCCAAAGACAGGACTCATTAGTGCAATATTCTTTTCATAGGTAGTGTTTGTGACAATTTTTTTCTTTTTGTTTTTAGATTTAGCGGTGACAGTGTCCTACATTTCCTCCTGTATCTACCGTTTGGTATATTACTATTGACATTCAGAGTGTTCTTGGCGCTGGTACTATGGGTCGCGTCAATAATATTGCCGAACAAATCGGCAGTCAGGCAAATGCTGTCTACACTTGCATGCTGGACATTTGGTATGAAACTGTTTTTATTTTTATGTTTTGTCTATTTTCTTTTAATCTAGAAAGTTTATTCATTTCAGAGGTATTTTTTCGTTACACTAACACTTAGAATTACAGCTATATTTGAAACAGAAGTTGAAACTAAAACTCTATACTTTTGCAAATCTGATAATTAATACAAATAATTCAGAAGTCAGAACCATCAACCTCAATAAACTAATGAACTTCATGTGATATTGAAAATCAAAATATGATGTTGTGTCATTTTTTTGTAAAAAACATTTAAAATGAGACTAAAAAACCAGAAGTTTGTCTGGCTGAAGTCTTTTATAATTTTCTTATTTATTATTAAAATAGGTACTGAATGGTATATTTATTCTGAGTGACTAACTATAATTAGTTAGAGACTTTTTGAGCAAAACCAAAAAGTTGGAATATCAGAAACTAGCCTCTTTCGGACTAGGGACCTCAGGGCTAAATTCGTAGGAAATTATTTGTATTATCACCCCCTGAAAGGAATATGTCGTGTTACAAGTCACCCTGTATAGTTTCTATAATATAACTTGTTTTGTTTGTGTTGCAGGTGTTTATGTGAAACTAAAGGGTACCCGTGACCCGCGCTGTAGTGTTCTGGTGGCCAACTACGTGTCTTGTCTAGATTCCCTAGCTGCCTCCCATGTGCTTGGTACAATCAGTGTAAGTTTACAAAATATACTTTTATAATTACATAGGCAGTTGAGTGTAAAATCATGTTTATTTCAGGCTTAAGATAATCTTTTTTCCTTACTTATGCCTATTTTTCGTCTGCTAATAAGTTCTGTATCTTTTAATTGAGTGCTCGTACACAAAACAGCGATGCGACGTCGCATCGCAAAAATGTACGAGCTCCCTCTACTCATCGCAAGACTTGCGAATTAAAATATTATGTTTTCGGCTTACTCACGTAATTATTTGGCGAGGAACTCGACTAGTTTCAAGCCATGCTAGAGGCTCATATTCATGAGTAGCATTTCGTGACCCCCGACGCGGCGAATGAGCCGAAAACATAATAATTTATTTAGTATATCTCACGAAACTTATACACAAACTTGCGAATTGATTCGCATCGCGCATCAAAATCTTATCTTCCCAAAATCTTCTTTAGTTCTATTCCTGTATCGAAAGTGCACACTTTTTTTACGATCCATGTCACAACCTAGTTTTCAATTTAAAATACGTTTAGGTCGTCGAAGGAATGGTCACCCTGGGAGACCCAATTCGCATCGTAATTTTTTGCGTTGCGAATTCGCATCCCATCGCATCGCAGTTTTGTGTAGGAGCCGTTAGCACAATTTCTAAACTCTATTTTTTCTAATAATTTTAAATCGAGTTTAGTAGTTGTTACTAGACTCCGTAATCTGAGCAGAGTCCCCTCCCTTAGTAATTACGTTATCAGCCATTCAATTGACATGGCAGTCAATAAAATTCAAACATTAATTAAAAACCTGAATAATTGAATGTATCAATCATTCAGCAATTCAATTTAATAGGACACTCAATTATATTCAAGTTAAGTCAACTGGCCTCATTGGTATTTGATTTAAACCAGTTTTAGTTTAACACTTAAAACATTTTACACAGTGTATGTTACTTCAGAATGTTACCTTTATAAAAAGTGCATACAAAAAACTTTAAAGGACACAAAAAGGTGCCCAAATCAACCTTACTGAACACGACTTGAATAAAATGTCAGTATTTTATTCAATTTTGTCCTCATACATTAAATATTCATAAGTATGGTTTATGTTATATATTTGTATATATCAACTTTGCGAGGAAAGAAAATTATCGAATGACTCCTCCTGTTTTGGGCGTGGCGAGACGGAGTCTAGTCTCACTGATTAAAAAACACTCTGTTCCTACTAATGACGTATGGGCTATGGTTTATAACTGCCTTTCTGCCTGCAGCCTCGCTGTGTACACTTGCATGGAAGTCGATATTTCGAGTTTGAGTAGAATAAATGTATCTGAATAAAAAGATTTCTATGTTACTCACTAAAGAGTGCACTATCTAATACCTAATAAATAATAACTCAGTCTTTTTGTTGGGTTTGGTTTGGGTTTTAAAAATTCTCAGTAGTAACACGGAGTCTGGAATTGTGCCCGGTATATGGCAATAGGCTCACCCCCTATTACATGGGACTCAACATAAATAGTGAAAAGTGGGTGTTGTTACATTGTACAGTGGCATAATGTGCACCTCTGCCTACCCCTACGGGGATAATAGGCGTGAAGTTATGTGTATTTTAGTCTAAGAGTCTATTCAATACAATTAAACAAGAAATTAATAAAAACTTTCTTCGTTATAATTCAATAGTAACGATTTCTCTCAGTAAAATGACTAAATGATATTAAAAGTCAACGAACTACTATTTCCATGTTTGTTTTTATTAGTGCAGATGTCCTTACAGCTATAATTATGCTGATATTTTTATATCTGTATATAATTATCATATATGCTTTACAAGCTTGTGTTTACATTTGGTTTTGATTTTTTTTATATAAAAAGAATTTTGAGTTGTCGTTGACCTTTGTGGCGTGAACTGTTAACGGTAAAATATAGTTGAATGAAAAAGTTGATGGGCAGAATCATATATAGAGTTGATAAAAAATAAGCAATAGATATTATTGTATTTAAATTATTATAAAAAAATTGCTAGTAAATTTCTTTTCTTTTATTCCTGTTATTACTCAATAGAGTTATAGCAGATAGACTCCTATCTGCTATATTTTTTAATGTATTACTTACTAGCAACTTGCGCGCGGTTTCACCCGCTCTGCTCGGCTCCTATTGGGCGTAGTGAGATGATAGCCAATAGCCTTCCTCGATAAATGAATATCCAGCACAAAAAGAATTATTCAATTCGAATCAGTAGTTTCGGAGATTAGCGCGTTCAAACAAACAAACAAAAAAAAAAACAAACTCTTTAGCTTTATAATATTAGTATAGATGACAATGATAGTCTATTTTAACAAACTTCTTGATCATACAAAATCCAGTATATTTGAGGGAATTAATTTCTTTTCCTTTTTGGAATATTTCCAACTGTGTTGCAGCGATATTGCTTTCACTAAGTGTAGTGATTTTTTAGTGTAAGTACTAAGATATGTCTTTTTGTTTACAGCTCAGAAAATGGAAAGTGCCGCCATTTTTTGCATCTACTCTGGGCATAAAGAATGCAGCACAATTTGTGAGGAAGTAAGTCATTTTCATAGATTATATTATTACCTACTAATAATTATATCTCTTATTATTTATAGGAATAAATAAATCTGTTCATACAAAAATAGTCTCTAAACATCGGAAATAAGGTCTATAATGTAGTTAGTAGAGAGCGGTCACCGGTGCCACTTGGGGATTAAAGGGTTAAACCATTATCTTCAACCCATCTCCCAAACATGGTGATTATGGCAAATCCTATGTATGTACAAGAGCCTCATAGTAGCAGCAATATACTATCATGGACTATTGATGATTTAAGCTAATGACAGATTCTACCATTTATTATGCTTTCTACATTTGACATCATTCTTATGATTGAGTGATAACCATAATATTAAAGATAGTACCATTGTTATCTGGGGTTAAGATATAAAACATCCGATTCTGATACTCCGTGTACGATATATTTTAAATATTATTATTGTTATCTTTGCTTGTTCATTTTTAATAACAAAATTTGTTCATGCAAAAGATACACTCTTAACATCGGAAATAAGGTCTAATAATGGAATGGGTGCGAGAGGACACCGGTGTCCTTGGGGATTTGGAACGGCGAGACAGAAGATCACAAAACACTACCACGAGATAATAAATTCTGTCATCAAAATAGATTAAATATTGTCTATTAAAACACTAGCGACCCGCCCCGGCTTCGCACGAGTGCAATATGCATGTATATACATATAAACCTTCCTTGTGAATCATTCTATCTATTAAAAAAAACCGCATCAAAATCTGATGCGTAGTTTAAAGATCTAAGCATACATAGGGACAGACAGACAGCAGATAGTGACTTTGTTTATACTATGTAGTGATAAACCGGAGATTAATCCAGATTTTTATCCGTAGTCCGTTGCGAAGGAGTCATGAAAGTTAGAAGTCCAGATTGTATTGAATTCCCACATAATTTAATATAGTATATATGTATAGACGGACGCAAGTAAAAATATTTCGTTCGATTTCCAACCTTATTGTATTATGAAAATAAAATTTAAAATGCTCGTTGCCCTGCCTCGACTGCCTCATTGACCAAGTGGTCGCAAGTGCGACTGCTGGGCAAGGGGTCTCGGGTTCGATTCCCGGGCCGGGCAAAGTATTACTGGGTTTTAAAAAAAATCTCAGTAGTAGCACGGAATCTGGAATTCACTCACCCCCTATTACATGGGACTCATAACATAAATAGTGAAAATTGGGTGTTATATTGTACAGTGGCATAATGTGCATCTCTGCATACCCCTTCGGGGATAAAAGGCGTGATGTTATGTTATGTAAAACTTAAAATCCAATGAAAAGATTGGTTTAAGTTAACATGTTGCCGTTTGTATTTTTATGTAAAAAATCCTTTGCTCAATTTGTTTTGGAGATGAGATCGTCATTTGCATTTATTAGCCTGCTCATGTTTTCAAAATGTAATCCAAACTCGTTTTGTCATTAGTTCATTGAACTGTATTGATAAATGCGTGTACTTATTTACTTACATATCTTTAGTTATGATTATATTTGTGCGTAACGTTTACGTCAGTATTTTTTGATAGGTTTCTTATCACGTCTGTGAATCATTCGACATTATTTTTACATAAATCTAAGAGTATTAAAAATTCTTTATCGAATACCTGAATCGGTATTTAAAAATTTTGGTGAAATATAAAAATAAAGAGTAATCCTTCTCAAGAAACTTGAGCTATATACGATATATGCGATTATCTGCGTTGTTCATAAACTTACACCTTTGTTCCCCCCTTTTTTTTTGAGGGGGAAAATCATCCAATGATTTCTCCCGCCCGGGTGAGGCGAGAGGGAGTGTTAGACTCTTACTGACTAAAAACCAACCCGTTCCTACTCCTACACTTCCGGAGCCCCGGCAACCCGATAAGTCTTCCGCGGCTCCGTATCGGCATCAACCCTGTTGAGCCTCGTCTGTGGTGTTCTGATGGCTCCTTGAGGCGCGCGCGGAACGCGACGCGTCGTACGCTCGGGCCTGGTTCTGGTCGGCGAGTCACCCGTGCTCGCCATCCGCAGGCCCGTGCTTACGGTGGCCGAAGATCGTCTCGCGATCCCCGACGCCCGGAGTGTCTCTCGCGACGGCCGGGGCGTGAGGAGGTTCGTTCCCTCACGCGCCCTGCGGGTAGGTAGAGATCACAGCCCACAGAAGACTGCCTAGAACGTAGTACAATCCTTACATACCTACTTTTTCATAAAAAAATATTCTTTAATTACAGACAACACTTCGCCGAGAGTCCCAGTAAGCCGGTGTTGCTGCAGCCAGAAGGAGGCCCGACCAATGGCAAGGGACTGCTCAAGTTCTCCGAGTGGCCATTCCCAGTCGGCAACAAGGTGCAACCTGTCGCTATCAGTAAGTAGACTCTAATCTTGGGATATCTAAGTATATAATATATAAAAAAGTCGTGTTAGTTACACTGATAATAATGAAAATTGTTGGGGAGGTAGCTTAGAACCAGGACGGACATGGGTTACTTTGTATCCAAGGATTTCCCGAAAATCCCACGGGTACGGGAAAAACCGAGATTGGGCGTACGAAATGTGGGCAGAAATTAGTAATTTATTAAAACAAGTAAACTAGTTATTTAGGTTTATGAAAATGATACGGATGGAAGAATAAGTAATTTGGCATAGGAAAATTAGCTTTCTAACTAAGTTTTTACCACACGCAAATGTCGAACTTGTCAAATACGGAAGACAAGTATGTGAAGAGGATTTTCAAGGGTTTTCTCGAAAAATTGAGGAAGAATAGCTAGAGGTTGAATTGTCTCTATAATTAATATTTTTTTAATTGTCTGTAACTAATGAGGAGTCCATTCATCTTGATAACATTATATACATATTACAGCGAGTGGTTCTACTATCATGTTACAATAGATGCTATTTTTAATGGGTAGTACAACACATATAATAAAATCGTAGGAAAGTCAAAACTGTATATTATCGATCGATACCGAAGCCAAAAATATGGTTTTTAAAATGGGGGGGGGGGGTGTCGTCGCAGGGTGCTCCTAGCGAATGCAACTTCTTTCTTCCCTTCTAATAACATCTTCTGATTTATTTGGTCGCGAGATCTAACACAGTTATTCACTCGGATTGTCGGACTTCAAGGTTCCGGTGTTTTCATGGTTGAATATACTATAGATCCTAGCCCATAGGAGCTGCAGTGGTTTCGGGACAATGTGGAGGGCTCAGCTCAAAAAAGCTTTTGATACACTTTTAATCCGGTTGGTATGGTTTAGGCGTGGAGCGTATGTTCACGAACGTGTGCGTGCACGGGGCGGGCGAGGGCGTGTTCCCGTGGAGCGACGCGCTGTGGTTCCTGTGGTCGCCGCTGACCGTGTACACGCTGCGCCTGCTGGCGCCACTGCCGCCGCAGCACGACGACGCCGCGCTCGCCGTCAACGCGGCTGACGCCATCGCCGACGCTCTAAAGGTATGTTTGTCATGGCTATCTTATAATTATCACCAGGCGAGATAGTGGTTAAACGTCAGTCCCATCTAATATAAAAAAAAATTGCAGACTTAATACTTTTTGATGATATGAGTAACTTTCGTTTGAGGTCTATCTACAGATCTACTTTTCTATTTGAACTTCGGCAGGAATGAGGGATGGGGCGGTGGTTTTTAGTCAACAACATTATTTCTAACACTTCCTCTCTTACTTCAACCCACGGCGGAAGAAGTATTTGATAGTTTTTCCACTTTAAAGCTTCTAGCTTTTTTTTGTTAAACTCAATTTCTACTCCATTTATTTAAAAATCTGTTAAATAACAACTTCCTGTCTACCTTCACTACACCCTATATTAAAAAAACAAAATATTAGATTTCATTTCATGCAACTCTAAGTTCCTCACGTGTTCAAATCGATTGGGTAGTTTCCAGGGTATCAAAAATAAAAATCTAATTAGTCCGCCAGTTCGATAATGATAAAATATCAGACACGTATTTTTTTATTTTCTCGTTTTAAGTTGCAATACTTAGATAAAATAGCGCTAAGTTTAGGAGTGGGAGGTCGTTACGTCAGAACGTGCTACAAAATGTGGCACGCTGTGACGTCACAAGATATTTCAAATTAATATATCGTCGAAATTATTTAATTTTGTGAGAAAAGAAAAAATACGTGTCTAAAGTTTTAAATTAATGTACCAGACGGACATTAAAAAAAAAAATAGGAAAGTACCCTATTACACGTAACTACATATCCCTAATATTTCCCAACAGATTGAAAAGACAGAATTCAAATGGGAGGAGTTATGTCGCGGGCGCCGCAGAGTGGTCCGTCGCCAGGTGCCCCCCGACGTGAGCAGACTGGCGCGGCAGGTGAAGGAAGTGTTGCCTCGCGTGCCTATTAATGACATACTCCGGGATCTTGGTAAGTTGAACTTACTTTACTTAATAGTTATGTGGCTTTTAGTCACTCGCTAAACTTAGTACGAAACTAAGCTGTTACCCGCGATTTTGTTCGCGGAATATTAACATCAGGCAGATTTTTTGACTTTACCCCTTTTCCAAGGCCTATTTCTAAGTATGATATTAAATTTTCATCAAGTTAATACTTTAGTTTCCTTAATTGTGAGATTCTAAAAGATTATGTGGTTTAAAATTACACAGTAGGGTAGATGACAAATTTTTATTATAATGTCCATCTGGTAGATTATGTAAAAACATTAGACACGTATTTTTATTTTTTTTATGGAAACGAAGAGTTCTGAAGATATATTGATTTGAAATGTCGCCTAACGTCACTTCTATGTACATTTTATACGTAGAAATGACGTTTTAGCCCCCACTCCTAAACGTTGATTCGTTATATCTAAGTATAATTTTATTATACGACAAAATAAAAAAATACGTGTTGTAATAATTACATTTTTAATTTTCATACCCTGTCATCATCCCCATTATAGTTCTAAGCTTTACACAGGTCTCGTTTCCCTAAGATTTTCATTATAAAAAGTTGTAATATATTTCACTCTAATCTGCCAATTTATCAGTCTAGTCGGTTTTACCCGTACAGTTACTGTTCTTGTGAGATTTTCGGAATAAAAAATATTCTTTGTCCTTTCTCGGGTCTCAAACTATCATTGTGCAGAATTTCGGTCAAATAGGTCTAGTAGTTTATAATTAATAGCGTTCCGGGATTTTAACTCATTGTTTCCGTTCCCGTGGGGTTTTCAGGATAAATCCTATCTAGGTCCTTTCTCGGGACTCAAACTGCCATTGTGCAGAATTTTAGTCTAATAGGTTTAGTAGTTTAAAAGAAATGATTTTCCGGGATTTTAACGCGTAGTTACCGGTCCCGTGGGGTTTTTGGTATAAAACTTATTTAGATCCTTTTTAAGGTCTCAAACTACAACTAGTACTGTCTAGTAGTTTAATAGAAATGGTATCTCGGGATTTTAACGCCTAGTTCCCATTCCCGTGGGATTACCGGGATTTCTAAGTCGCTTCTCGAGTTTTAACCTATCGTTGTTATGGAATTTCAGGCAAATAGATTCATTTTTTTTTTTAAATTGGCGTCCCGAGATCATAACGCGTAGTTTCCGTTCCCCTTGAATTACTGAATTAAAACCTGTCTTAAGTTCCTTCTGGGCTTCAAACTGTCATTGTCCGAGATTTCAGTGGTTCAATAGATTAAAAGAAATGGCGGTTGGGGGATAAAACTTACCTAGGTCCTTTTTCAGGTCTCAGACTACCTATGTACAGAATTTCAGTCGGTTTAGTAGTTTGAAATAAATGGTATCCCGGGATTTTAACGCCTCGAAAATCCCCTGGGAACGGGAACTCCGTTCCCGTGGGATTTTCGGGATAAAATCTGACTAATTCACTTCTCGAGTTTTAAGCTATCGTTGTATGGAATTTCAGGCAAATAGATTCAGTAGTGAAAGTTAAAACAATTGGCATTTCGGGATTTTATCACGTTGTTCCCGTTCCCGTTGGGTTTCTCGGTAAAGACCTGTCTAAGTCCCTTCTCGGTTTTAAACTATCATTGTACGAGATTTCAGTCAAATGGTCTCATTAGTTTAGAATAAGGTCATCTCATTAGGTTTTTGGTATAAAACCGTTTTTGGTCTTAAATTATTATGAAATCATAGTCAAATATGTTACGATTTTAAAACACAAAGGCCCGGGATTTAGACTAGATTTCCCATTTCTGTAGTAGTTTCGAAATAAAACTATCCTATATGTTGTATACTTATTATTTAAAGAATTGCCTCATATTGTTCTCTGAATATCGAACTGTATTACCCAAGCCTATTTTAGAAATATAGTCCCAGAATTTTAACGCAGATTTCCGATTCGTGTGGGTTTCCGGGATAAAACTATCCTTTCTTTTCTCGTATTCTAAATTATATCTGTTACAAATTCCATGCAAATAAGTGTATTTAGTATGTGTGTGTGTATCACGATAAATCAAAAACTATTATTCAACGTCCTTGAACCTTGAACTATAATACAATTTTAACAGGAATTAGACCTCCTTATACATGCAACTCTCCAGCTCCAGCTCCAGTCGATTTTGTCAGGCGTCATACTACTTGATGCAGCGGGATATTATGAAATATGTCGTCACACACATACATACTTCACGCCAGTCTCCAATTTTTACTTTTTAGTTTTTTGCATTTTTAATCTATTAGTAACTAATCGACTTAATTTCCTTGTCAACAGCGTCAACACGTAGCGTAGACGTTACAATAACGAACTTCCTGGAAGGTGTGACTCCATACACGCCGGAGCCCGAGCCGGCAGCGGAGCCCCAGGCCTCCACGTCACAAGCACAGCCTCGCTACGTCATCCCCACTCCCACAGGCGTCTTCCCAAAGAGTGCGAAGGAGAGACAGCTTAGCTTCCAAGAACGAAAGGCTCAGATGATTGCTGAAGCCAGAAAAAGATATATTGAGAAGAACGGACTCAATGTGGCTTTGAATAACTGTTGAATGTAATTGTAAGTAGTTTGGTTGTTTATTGGGAGACGTTCAACCAATTGGGGAGTAGATTCGCGATATCTTGAAGGGGAAGGATCATTTGTGTGGACGCAATTCAAGAGACTACATTTATAGTAATACAAACACACGGTTATGATGTATGTCTCAAAATTGCTGTAATATAGGTACCGTAGCATATTCAAGTTAATACTGGTGACTATGAGTGTGAAGCAAAATATCGACATTACAAGTGGCAACTTTTTTGAAAACATGTTCTTTCAACTGCCAGCTACCCACGGTTAAAGTTCCAATTGTAAAAGTAGATCTCATTCAAAACTGTTTTTTGTGGGTAGCAGTTGAAAGGTATAATAGTAACTAAACCCACGTGGTATTGTAAAAAAGACTTACAGCTTAAGAAATAAGCTCTTAAATCCTATTAAAACTAAGAAAGTACGTAAATATAATTGTCTTGATCCCAATTAGACAACTGAACTACAACAAGGATAGCAGAACGGACAGATAATGTTAATGAAAGGGAAACATAGGATAGTTTGTGCCTAAATAGGTTGATTAACGTTAAACTTAAATTGATCTAACTGCCCGTCTACATTACACTTATGTAAGTTTTAAAATCACAAACAATTAGTAAAAATGTTACTTGATAATATATTTTTAATTAAATGTTAACAGAATAATTGTAATGTAGATGACGTATTAGTTGTCACGTCATATTATGAGTCCTTCCAAAGTGATGACGTACTTGAAGTTTTAGTTTTATAGTGAAATGTATGGTAGATCCAATAATCATATTATTTTTAATTTTTAAATATAGCTATTGACAGTTGTATGGAAATTATTTTATATTGTTTTGTGGTAACATTGAAGGTTGTTCGATATTCTTTTTTTCTGGCAACATTAGCCATTTTTTTTAATAGTAAGACATTGTCTATATATTGACGTGTGCTAGGATATTTGATAACTTATGTTCCTGAAATTTTATTACTATATTATTTTCATGTGACGTACCTAGGGCAAGTCAATGTAGTAGAATTTATATTTCTTTTGTTATTCTTATAAGTAATTAATTATATTTTGATTCGGGCTCAGTCGGAGTTGGGTCGCGAAAAACTAACAAGAAAAACGTTGATCGATAATAATTTTTCTGATCCGCAAATGTATTAAATTCATGACTGATATTACTATTTAAAATGTTGAATAATACTCTTTTTATTGAAGTTTTGGTAAAACAAATTATCATTTTTTACCTAGTCCTTTCTTGAAGAGGCTTTTGAACAGACTTTCAAACTAATTTAAACTGATTTTAGTTAAAAGGTAATTATTAATTGTGATTTGAGAGTTTGGTAGTGAAATTATATTATTTAAATATTAATGCTCCGACTGAAGCCTTATTTAGTACGGAATTGAATATTTTGCGAAATATATAATTATAATATAGAAAATCAAAGATTATTTTTCTTATGGTAATCGTATTAACTTCCGTGTGTACATACTTCTTTATATATATGAATTATTATATAAATTATATAAAATCACGCCTGAATGTAAGTTCAAACGTTATAGAACTGATTTTGATTGTGTTCTGTTAGAATAAAATACATTAAATAAAAAGGTTCGTTTTATTTCTAGAGTTGTTTAGTTTTCTACAGTTTTATGAAATGGAAACGTAGGTCATAACATTCTTTTATATGTACTATATTGAGGATAATGACAAAATGTAGACAAAACGTCTTACAGCACACAGTAGCAACTTAATACAATCCTTAATGAAAAACATAAACGCATTTTTTAAGTATTAAACCAAAAATATACTTTAATATTTAGTTGCCAGTGCAACTAAAATGACGTCACATTTGATCTGGGGTACTAGGACTTCATGACGCAGTTAAGAAGTGTAGAAAATATCCTAGAATGACCATTTTATGATACAATGCAATTGCCTTTCTTTACTGTTGTTGCACTGTGTTACACATTTTCATGGAAAACTAGTAGAGTAGTCACTTTTTGCTCATCTATACATTCATTAAAAATTATACATGTGTTTTTATATTTACATATTAACGCTTCATTTCGTCTCTAGATTTAAGGCAGCACAAATTTATGTATGAAGGTAAACTTACCTCCCAAAGAGTAATTAGTATCCATCCCACGCCTGCTATAAAATAAGTATGAATGAACCATGGTTCTACCAGGTTTAATTTCAGGGAGATGCATCTAATCATCTGTTATAGGAATTGAAACAAATCTAGCAAGTACCAAAATATTGCCAAGTCTCTTGTCTGTGGGCCAAGTCGAGCGCGAAACAAACACTGCCGTGCCATCCTTTATTGGAACCATTTCGCCGCATTTTCAGGCCCCTATTTAAGAACCACTGGATAAGACCAGAACACAGAAATTTTCATAATCAGGTAAACTATAATCACATACTTAAAATCCATTTTAAGTCTGTACGTCATGTAGTTCCAAAGTTATACGAAAGCAAAGTTTCGTATTTATGACACTCACTCGCTCCCTCACTCATGATCTTCAAAATAGGACTGGTACTTTCCATAAACTCGGAGAGATGAATCAGTAAGAGTCTGACACTCCCTCCAGGAGCAGTCATTCAATGATTTTCCGCCTTAAAAAAACTATGATATAGACGCATCTCTCAACAGTGTGGCGGCCGTGTATACATGAGCAGTAGTACTCGTCTAACTTTATCTTCCATGTTGTGTTGGGTTTAACAAAATAAACGTATAATAATAATATAACTTTTATTTCAAACAAAGTCCATAGGGTTAGTAACAAATGACTTAAACTAGTGTTAGTAGAAACAAACATATTAATATAAAACAAAAACACAATTAAAGTACGGCGTGGAGTTGCATCCACCTTTGCATCATCGGAGAATCTCACCGATCTGCGAATAAACTGAGAATACTATTGGTATCGCCGCGTAGGTACTCGTGTCATCAGAGAAGTACCTTTCTAATTATAGCGGCGAAACTATCAATACCTGCGTCCGCAACCATACCTGATGCATACAGTACCTACTCGCAATGCATTATTGTATTGGACACGCAGATCGCTATATGCCAGCCGAGTGAATCCGACCGGGATATTATAAATTGCATATCAAATAAATAATCGCCTATCAATACATACTCATCATTTATATTCATTTTTACATCAAATAACTTACTTCATTACAAACAAATGAAATGTTCTACAAAACTCAAACTGCAGATAATTCGAAATTATACATCAATACGACAATCCTTTTTTCCTTATAATGCAATACGGTTATATTTGTTTTTGTACAAAAATACTACATACATAGCATAAATACTGACTGCACAGCAATTTTGGGCACCCCGAAACATTTGGTTAGGTTAGGTTAGAACTGCGACCCTCACAAGGCGCGAGGCGAGCGAGCGTAGCGAGCGGTGCCGCGGTAGCGGCCGCCGAGCGTTATATCACTAACTGCTTTTCAAATCTTTTCATACCATTTAGCCGTTTATATTAAAAATATTAGTTTAAATAAAATAAGTGAATTTAAAATGCTGCTTTATTTAGAAAAACTGTTGTAAATAATTTAAAAATAGAAGCTATATTTAAAAGAAAAAGAGTTTACCTATATAATGTGCATTAAGATTATTAGCTGTGCATTAATGAAAGCTTTTGCTTTAGGCAAAATCGTTGTACGCTGCGAAAATAAATTGTAGTGTGTTTAGTAATATTTTGAGTTAAATATTTTGCTGTGCAATCAGTAATTTTGATGGGAATTCGGAATTTTATTGCAAAGAAAAAGGATATTTTTTGATATTCGTTTAAATACTACCCAATCCGACCCACAGGCTGCAAGTGTAGAAGGACTGACAGTAAGCTTTGAAAAGCATTATTATAACAGGCCTCGTAAATCGCGCAAACCTTCAGGCCAGCATGTTACAACGAACAGCTAGCGACCAACGTTCTCTCTTAATGTCACAAATTTTGTCTTTGAGATCCTCGGTGACCCAGTGGCCTAGGTATTTAAATTTGTCAACTCTTCGCAGAGATTCTCCACACAGTATAAAATTTGGATTATTAGAATATGTCACATTGCCCGCTTTGAAAACTAATAGCTCGCTCTTTGCCACATTTTAGCCATTATTGACAATTACTCGCCCTTACAATTTTCGAAAGTTCCCCTCGGTTTTTCTAAGATTTCATCATCCGCAACGCACCTGTGACTACTCTGGTGTTGCGGATGTCCATGTGCGGCGCTGATCGCTTACCATCAGGTGATCCGTCTGATCGTTTGCCTCCTATTCTATAAAAAAATCTGATACTAACCTGGTGAAAATGGGACCTTCTCGGGAGTACCTTTCAAACAAAAAAGGAGAATCATATCCTCTACAGCTACACGATAAAATAAAATCATCTGAAACTGTTTGCTTTTTAATTTTTCAAATGGTCCTGTACATTTTACTTCATCGATTTTTAATTAAAATATGCAATGAAAGAAATACATTTTAGTTATTTTAGTTAGTCATATTGCCCTTAGTTTAAAACTATTTTAGTTCGTATCCGCGACTCTTCGCAAAGTGGGTCAGATATACCCAATGACCTTTGGTACAGAGTTATGGTGTAATGGCTACATAAAGGGAAAACTATAAAAACTAGGATAATCCAAGATCTGGAGTACCTGGTGACCCTGGTTAGAAACCATAAAAGCCCAACCAAATTTTTAAAGATTGATGTCTACTGCCTTTACTAAAGATATTAAACTTGGTGGGCCGCTTCATTTGATTAAAAAAATCGAAGGTCTGAAGAATCTGACGAAAAACCATCAGCTGGTGTCAGCTGTAAGATAATTAGAGATATGGTAGTGCCCCTTTCTACTGTTGATACATAAAATCGACTGTCATTGCAAAAATCCAACGAAGTTGGTCATTAAATATAATCTAGCTAGCGTTTAGCGTCATTGCATTGGCAAATACTGCAGCAGCTGTTGCAGAAATTAGTAATAAATCAAAATGCAAGTTTCTACAAAAATAAGTGAAATGCAAACTAAAAACATTCTGTAAAAAAACTAGCCAAGTCTCAATGAAGCCGCTCGTTCATCTCTAAAAAGTAATGAAGTCGTGTCAGCTCTAGGGTTCCTTATTGCGATTTCTTTATATTGTTAGTGTTGTGTGACCACTGACTTAGCCGTTGAATCATTGAGGATGGAAAATTGCCAATAGGAAAAAAAAAACGATTAAATAAACAGCGGTACCGGCAATAGATTGGTGCAATGGTGTCTTGCACCTATTTGAAATATTTGTGATTTTAAGATATGGCCAAAAAGATTCATTTTATTGATTTTCGGGAAAGAGTATACCTGCACTGGGACTTAAAAGTAATGAAGAAGGAATAAAACATTATTTTTCATATTAAGTTCATTTATTCATTGACTAGCTGTGCCCGCGACTTCGTTCGCGTGGTTGTCGAAAACAAAACAACATCGTTTAGATAACAGTGGGCTATATACATATGAACTCCACTCAAGAAGATGGTATAGTATTTTTTTTTGCCAATAAAGATCCTGACTATCGTATATTTTTATTTGGTAATATTGGTATCTACTTGATTACGTTAATGCTTCCCTATATAATAGATTAGCGGTTGAATTACCCGGAGCATTATACAAAAAGGTTTTTGTTTTGTTTTTTTTTTGAGGCATTTTTAAGGAAAATATCAAAGTAATATACAAAACCGACAAAATTTTAAAGATCGGTGCGTCGAACAGTCTCGTCTCGTCTGTTCGTGGTCACGACTTAACGAATTCGTTACACTCACTGTAACGATTGGCACTATTCAAACTCAGAAGTAAATACTTCTACTTTAGGGATGATACGTATTTACTGGTAGGTACAGGTAGTATAAATACCTAGTTTGAGCTTACCAGTACGCATATTGGGTATATAAGCAGAAACCCGGTCCCTATTCGTTCCGTTCGTATTCATGACCTATGATCTCGTGTATAATGCCGACATCGTCTAGAGTCTAGACAGTAACGCATCATCCAAGGTTGTCAAAAATATGAGCTTATGGCACCGACTAAAAGTCGGTCAGTGGGTGAGGAGTAACTAATCAATACTAATATGGTTATTTTTTTGTTTTTGTTTTTTTGTTTTTAGTTTTTAGGTTTTTTGAGAAGTCGGTTTTTTAACCGCAGTTTTTTTTATTTTGTCATTTTAGTGAAAACTACATAGACCCATTTTGCCACTTTAATCCACATAGGTGCAAGTTCTAATCAATACAAATTATGCAAACCCAAACAATGTAGTTACGTGAAAACGACACCCATGATGATAAATTAAAAATTTCGTGCAGCCGCCATCTTGGATTTACATTTTGACAGCACATCGGTTTTACCACCCTCGAAAACCATGAAACGATACCCATGGCGATAAATTAAAAATTTCGTGCAGCCGCCATCTTGGATTTACATTTTGACAGCACCATCGGTTTTACCACCCTCGAAAACCATGAAAACGATACCCATGATGATAAATTAAAAATTTCGTGCAGCCGCCATCTTGGATTTACATTTTGACAGCACATCGGTTTTACCACCCTCGAAAACCATAAATACGATACCCATGGCGATAAATTAAAAATTTCGTGCAGCCGCCATCTTGGATTTACATTTTGACAGCACCATCGGTTTTACCACCCTCGAAAACCATGAATACGATACCCATGGCGATAAATTAAAAATTTCGTGCAGCCGCACTCTTGGATTTACATTTTGACAGCACCATCGGTTTTACTACCCTCGAAAACCATGAAAACGACACCATGACGATAAATTGAAAATTTCATGCAACGGCAAACATACATAAAAAAGAAACAATTCGAACATAGTGCCTCCTCCTCTTTTTGAAGTCCACGGCCCTCTACGGCGCCCCTGTGTGGGCGCCGAACCTGATGCGGCAACCCGCTCGGGCGCTGCTACTCCGCTGCCGCGCCAGATAGTTGCGTGGCGGGATGAGCTCCGGCGCGATCTCATGGCGGAATGGCAGCAACGACTGTCGCAACCGAGGGCTGGGCTCGCTGCCATTGCAGCGGTAAGTCCACTCTTTGAGGAGTGGCTTGAGAGACGCTACGGTGTCCTCACCTACCGCCTGACGCAGGTCCTCACCGGACATGGAAGTTTCGGGAGGTACCTGTGTCTGATGGGGCGGGAGGAAACGCTCGGGTGGCATCACTGCGAGGTCCGTCCTGTGGACACGGTGGAACACACGGAATGCGGAATATCGCATAGCGGAATGCCCTGTGTGGGCTGAGCACCGCCGTGCCCTCAGGTAAATGATCGACGATGGCGACCTCTCGCGTCCGGGCCTAGTGCAGGCCATGATGCGGAGCGAGGGGGACTGAGATGCCGTCTCCTCTTTTAGCGAAGCAGTCTTGCTAGCTAAGGAGGAGGCGGGACGATCTACCGTAAGCGTGGGCTTGCGGACGGCGAGCATGGGTGGCTCCCAGTCCGACCAGAAACAAACCCGAGCGTATGGCGTGTCGCGTGGCCCCAACAGGGCCGATGCCGATTCGGAGTCGCGGAAAACCTAACGGGTAACCGGGGCTCCGGCTCGACGTGCAGGAGAAGGAACCGGGTGGTTTTTAGTCAGTAAGAGTCTGACACTCCCTCCCGTCTCACCCACGCGGGAGCAGTCATTCGATGACTTTCCGACTGAAAAAAAAATGTACTTGTTTAAAATATCAAGTAGTATCTTTACTTTGGACTTAAAACCAATAACCAAACGAAACCAATTTTCCAAAGGTGTCGTTTCAAGTACTATACTGAATTGCGTGTTGTAATATTTTACTTGAGCTCACTAAATTAATCATATCTTCTGATAGAGTGAACCGATTTCGATGAAACAAAAACTAAGTTATACCTCAAGTTGCATAGAATTTTTGTATATAAGCAATGTCTGCATTGAATTTGTAGATTTTACGTGATGCGCGCACAAACAAACAGACAAACAGACAAACAGACAAAAATTTCAAAAATGATGGAAATGGGTTCTGTTAGTTATCTTTTAACACGCTGGCTATTTTTTTTGTCAATTCCTTCAATGTACAAAAAATTACTTTTCTACAGATTTATTATATGTATAGATTTAAAAAATACAAAATATCGACACTCCAACTTATAGTCCCAATCTATGTGGAGTTCTGCGTGGAGTGTTGAGCCCTGGCGTAGCTATCTCCTGCTTTACTGGTACATCTTCTTCTTTCTTCTTCCTTTCTTCTGCCATCTTCTGTTCAGCTTGCTTCATCTCTTCTTCCATACGCTGCAGATGTACGGCGGCTTCTTTGCGTTTGTCGCGATTTGATCTGGGAAAAGAAGATAGAAATATTAGTTTATATTGATTTACCTTGCTTTTTGCGGTAATGAGAGACGAACTTGTTTCTGCATGATCACCGAATATTTTAATAATACTTTTACGAACAAGCTCCGGTTGTGACAGTTAGATTGTTTAGATTTATATTACTGCTAAGAACAATATTATAATTAATTTTCCTACTAAAAGTCATAATAAATCGACCATTGCATATCAAAAACGAAACCAAACATCAACTTACTTTCCAGTTTCCTTAACAGAAAAGAACATAGGTCCCAGTTCAGCGAGCCACCTGCCGTCTACAGCAGTGACGCAGTGCATGTACTCCTTCGTCGTCATCATCAGCTCGTAGTACACCACGTAGTCGGGCGAGTTGCCCAGACCGAATAGAGCCGACGTCGGGTGCAAGTGACACGGCATCCCAGTACGACAGTTCACGTACTCCCCGATACCCTTCAGACGAGCTGCTTGTTGGAAGTAGGCTGTGGAGGTGAAAAACATAGTTAAATTATATGGGCCCAAAATTGTACCTTGTGACATTCCTATTTTGTATAACGAGTTTCGTTATATTTTTTAAAGCGAAACTCAATATTCTGAACTTTATAAGATAAATAGAATAAAAATAGAGAAAAAAATTTGCAGTTTAAGCATATTTTGTGTATTAGTACAGTTTTAAAATAAATATTTCACAAATAAGGCTATCGAAAGCCTGAGACAAATCACAAAAACACTCAACAAAAAGCTTCTGAGTCAAAAAGTACCTTACACCTTCAAAAGGTAAGCCATATAATAACAAATAGACCCTATGACATTAATAATAATTTAATAATATATGATCCACCTACCAGAGCAGATACACTTGCGTACAAGATCCCAGTCAGTCCCGCAGGAGACGAGTGGCAGTCTTTGTTGTTGCATGATGTCCTTCAGTTGTTGTCTTACCTCACGGACCTTTCGCATCGCCTTACCGTGGACGAAGTGCTCTGTGCACCACTGGCCCGAATAACTAGAAGTAGATAGATACTTTTAGTAGGAAACCTTTTTGGGAATCTAATGAATAATTTTGAACCTATACCAGTCTAGGACGTAGTATAAAGGATAATATAAATAGAATAGCTGGCTATCCTTACTAATATTATAAATCGGAAAGTGAGTTTGTTTGTTTGATCCGACTTCACGCCGTAACTACTAAACCGATTGCATTGAATTTTTGCAGACGTAAAGTTAGTAGTCTGGATTAAATAATAGGCTTTTTATCTCGAAAAAATTTGATATTCCCGAGGGAAAACAAAAGTATTGGTATAGATGGCGCTGTATGTATTGGTATGTATATGTCACATAGGCTACTTTTTATCCTTTTGTGACGCGAGCGAAGCAGCGGGTAAAAGCTAGTAATCTATAAAATGCTATTTCCTACGTTAAATAATTGCATAGCCAAAGACAAATCAATTATTATATTTAGAGCTAAAAAGCATTTTTAGACATCAAAATATATTTCTCTAGTCCTTCAGGCAAGCTATTTACGCGCTCTAAGATTACTCCTATGGAGAAGAATTATTGGTTATCATTTTTAAAGCAGTGGGAAAATAAGAAGAAACAGGTGTAAATGGACTGGATCACAACTTACTTGTTAGCCTTCCACTGGTTGTACAGATGCAGCAGTGTGAGGTGATCAGACTCTGGCACCTGGAACTTCTCTTTGACAGAATCAGCTTCCTCCTCACGACCTTGAGGCCGGTAGAATACTGACGGTACTGACAGCATGGACACTGGGAATAAACAATATGGATTATGAATATTATGGATGAATAAAAATATTTATGTAATCGGATCTAAATACTTATTTATTATCTACTTAAACCCTAAGGTTGACTGGTAGACAATGCCATATGACATTAAGTAAGCCATAATAAAATTTTGTACATAAAGCATAAAAAAAAAATAGCATACTGATATTAAAAGTTTGGATAGTCCCATAAACCTCGGAATCAAACTGCTTGCATTTCGTCGGGCATAGTGCAAATACGCGGAACTAGCATTGGATAATTCCGCATATCTGACCAATGTAGCTTATTCAAGTTTTCCCGCAACATCATAATTGGCTGCCACAACCTTGATAAGAGTTCATTTTGACTCATTTTTTAATATGCAAAAATGAGCTTCAAACGTTAAAGAAATACTTAGTTAAGTAGGTACCACTTACCAATAATAAGTACTTCTACACTGCACCCCATCTTAGCGCTGACAATGAGCATGTGACACTGCGGCGGGTCCAGCGGGAACTCTGCCATCTGTCGCCCGAGCGGGGTGAGCGCTCCCGTGCCGTCCAGGGCACCCAGGATCCACAGCTGGTACATTGAGTTCAGGATTGTGTCCTAGAGGTAGGGGCATATTATTATAATTCTTGAATTAACACAATAATATAGTAGGATTTATTGTAGGAAAGTTTGTTTATTGACACATAACACTAGACAAAATAAATTGTTAATGTGAAAAAGGTTTCACCTCAGATTTCAGCGTTATCACGTTGCTATAGTAAAATATGATGATAATTTTAACTCGTCGAGTACCGGTTTTATAGACACAATTAAAGAACAATAGGTCGCGGTCACCGGTGACCGCTTGGTGTTTGACAGTTTAATACAATGAAGTATTTTGCCCTCGATGGTCGATTTTAAACATGTCTGCAGAATATGGAGCCACTTTTTCGACCTATCATAGAGTTCTGTTTCAACATTTAAACTTCCTTAAGTAATTCCTTTGTTTTCTTTTATAGCTTGTCTCTTCAGCAAATAAGATTGCTTATCACGCAAAAATAGAAAGAATCTTACATACCTGTGGTGGTGGATCCATAAAATGGAAAGCAAGGAGGTCTTCCACTCCCAAACTCTTCAGCAAAAGTACAGTGTTAGCGAGATTGGTTCTCTGTATCTCTGGCACTGTGGAGGACAACAGTTCATGTTGGTACTGTCTCTGTGTGTAGAGACAGAATGCCTTGCCCGGACCGGTACGACCGGCGCGACCCGCGCGCTGACGGGCGTTCGCTTGACTTACTGGGTAGATCTGGAAAGATTTTAGAAGTTGTACGGTTGTATTGCTTAGTGAATTGATGGTTAATTTTAAGTAAAAATGTAATGAAACTCCTTATGTCATGTAGTCATCTGATCAGTGAGATTATTTTCTAGTTTCAGCGAGCAGTCTGAACGGCTGTATTAGTTCTAAATTTTCAAAATAATTTTCTAACTTGTTTGGTAGTCAAACACTCACACATACTCACACATGGAGTGATACCACGGCCTCACAGAAGACCGACGTGAAACAACGCTTGCGTTGTTTCACGTCGTGTGAGTGAGGTTACCGGAGGCCCAATACCCGCCCCCCCCCTTCCCCAATCCATGAATCCCTGACAATCCTCAAATTCCTAAACCCAAAAGGCCGGTATCGCACTTGTAACGTCTCTCGAGTTGCGGGTGTCTATGGTCGACGTAGATTGCTTACCATCAGCTGATCCGTCTGCTCGTCTACCAGTTTATATCATAAAAAAACATACTCCCTCACAAACTTTCGCATTAATAATATTAGTAGGATTGTTAAGTTAGCATCGATATTCTGACATTATGTTAGCAGTTTATTCATTTTTTTACCAAAAATTTATCGGTACAAAAATACTACTGTTTCTTACCTGTAGAGCATCCATACCAATCCTTGGATTGTAGACCTTGAGCTTGCAGTACCCGCTGTCTATCACATACATGATGCCGTCCACCGTCAGTGACGTCTCTGTTGATATTACATTCTCATTAGTAAATCATCATAATATTACGCCTTTTACCCCCGTAGGGGTAAGCAGAGGTGCACATTACGCCACTTAATGCCACTGTACTGTATAACACCTACTTTTCACTAATTATGCAATGAGTCCCATGTAATTGGGCACCCGGGCACAATTCCAGACTCCGTGCTACTACTAAGATTAAAAAAAATCAGTAATACTTTGCTCGACCCGGGAATCAAACCCGAGACCCTTTGCCCGGCAGTGGGACTTACGACCACTCCGGCAGCAAGGCAGTCAAGGAACACTTCTAAAAGTAATAACTTACCAGCAATATTAGTAGCAACGATGCACTTTCTCTGTCCAGGTGGTGCGCGCTGGAAGATCTTGGCCTGCAAGTCGGCTGGCAGCTGGGAGTATATGGGGAGGACAGTGAGGGGGGGTGCGCTGTCCAAGTCTGCTAGCCGTTCCGTCAGTACCTGCAATTACAAAAAGAAAATGAATGTTTTGTTCTAGTGTTATTTGTTAGTGATGATGGAGTGGTGTCGACGCGTACGTGAGGTGCCGTGTAAAGATTAAGCAGAGTAGATGACGGACATTTGTCATTACTTTACTTACTTTACTATTGCTTGAGAGTTTCGTTGTACTATGTGTTAAAAATTGCAAATTAGGTACGGAAAATGATAAAATACAATAATATAAAATATGTATTACTAGCTTTTACCCGCGGCTTCGCTAGCGTCACAAAAAGATAAAAAGTAGCCTATGACAATCATATACCAATACACACAGCGCCATCTATACTAATACTTTTGTTTTCCCTCGGGAATATCAAAATTTTCCGGGATAAAAAGTACCCTATTATTTAATCCAGACTTTTAACTTTACGTCTGCAAAAATTCAAAGCAATCGGTTTAGTAGCTACGGCGTGAAAGCGGAACGAACAAACAAACAAACAAACACACTTTCTGATTTATAATATTAGTAAGGATGAGCGGTCGCGGGGATGTCGCGTAGCCTACCTAGGCTGAGAGCCACTCTGCGGCTCAAAATCAGTAGAGCTTTTCTCAGTATATTCACGTGAGTAACCCGCGATTTTTAGTTAATAAAAATATGGGTTGTTTTACCTCACAAGTAACCTCAATGTCTTCTTGACCCGGCATGAAGATTAGTATATCTCCTTCCTCCGGCTGCAGATGTATTTGAAGAGCCTGAAACAATATATTTACATTACAATACTTACATTAATTGCAATATCGTCGGCCTAGTTTAAGCAGCGATAAACACTTATTTCCTGGACAGAAACTCAGAATCCAGTTCTGAGGATCAATAAAATATCAACCGTTGATGGATTTTATGACTGCACGGTTGGCGCGGTGGCTGGGCAACCGGCTGCCGTGCAACGTGTCGCGGGTTCGATTCTCGTACGGAACAACACTTTGTTTGATCCACAAATTGTTGTTTCGGGTCTGGGTGTCATGTGTATGTGAACTTGTAAGTTTGTAAACGCACCCACGGTACAGGAGAAACGTGTTTTTTAAATATTAAATAATAATAATAATAATTTTGAAGTCAGATATTAATAACAGACATTTGAAAACCGCATCAAAATCAGTTCAGGCAATCGCGAACAAACGAACATTCATACATATACACTATTATACACAGGTCACACTGAGAACCTACTTTTTTTTGAAGTTAATAAGAAAAATATGCTTCTTTCCATTTGGTCTAAGTTTAAAATAGATATTTTGTAGAACTAATTATAAGTAGATATGAGTGGGTACCATGGGAAAAATATGTTCTATTTATGGAGTGTAGTTCATTGAACTCGTAAGCTTGACCCTTTTTATTTTTAGGCATGCGCATAACTACGATATAAATAATTATTGTTGGTTCGTCAAACTATGAATGAATAATTATTGACTTATAGACACATCTTAACTATCTAGATAACGTTTCACAGTCGAAATTAATAAAAAGTCTGAATTGACCTTGGATTTAGACAGAAACTCAATAGAACTTAACATAATCTTACATTACGCATTTTATCCCCGAAGGAGTAAGTAGAGATGCACATTACGGCACTTAATGCCACTATACCTCTACAATCTAACACCTACTTTTCACTATTTATGTTATGAGTCCCATGTAATAGGGGGTGAGCCTTTTGCCATATACCGGCTCAATAGAACTAATGACAAAAATCGATTACAAACTTTTTTTAAAGGGGGACAAATCTTGCAATGTCTTCTCCCGCCCTAATGAGGCGGGAGGGAGTGTCAGACTCTTACTGACTAAAAACCACCCTGTTCCTACTCCTGCACTTCGAGCCAGAGCCCCGAAAACCCGTTAAGTCCTCAGCGACTCCGATCGATTTCAATCTTAAGATAATACGTAATGTATATTGAGATCGGTAATTTCACCCGTTACTCTACAAATAATAATGCAATTCGACTTGCTTCACAACCAATCACAAATGTATGTTATGTATGAACGTATAGATTTCACAATGACTTCGCACCTAAGACAATTTCTAAACATCACACTACGGTGAACAACCGTGAAGACTTCCATATATCTCATGCATATTTAGCGGTATGATGTTGATCAAGCAATCATTACTTTTTTTTATGGTATAGCAGGCAAACGAGCAGACGGATCATCTGATGGTAAGCGATCAGCGCCGCCCATGGACACCCGCAACACCAGAGTAGTCACAGGTGCGTGGCCAGCCTTTTAAACTGTCAAACACCAAGCGGTCACCGGTGACCGCAACCTATTGTTCTTTAATTGTGTCTATAAATACGGTACTCGACGAGTTAAAAAGGATTACGCTCTTTTCTTGAAGGTTTGAAGGTCGTACCGATTCGGAAATACCGCCGACGACAGATCATTCCACAGTTGTGCTGTGCGAGGCAGAAAGCTACGTAAGACGCGCACAGTTGTGGCCTGCCAACCATCTATATGGTGGGGATGCATATGCTGTCGTGAGGGTCAATGGTGAAAAGATGTGGCAGGTATCAGGTCAAACAATAAAAACATTATAAATCATGGTAACATCGCCAGTATGTCTGTTATGGGGATAAAGAAATCGAGTTATGCTGTTGTATTTGTTCTAACGGGATGGTAAAATACAGTATGAAGTAAACTCAGCTTAACATTGTAGTTAATTATATGACAAGGGCACGGACGAGAGTCACGAGAAATAACAATTTCGGTAAAAAAAACATAGCTAAACGCCTTTTATGCGTTATAGGGGTTTTCGCCAGTTCTATTACAAATTAGCTGTTGCCTGCGACTTGTCCGCGTAAAATATGAATTGTAGAACGTAACTTATTCTATTTTTCAAAATAAAAGTATTATGAATTCCGATGTTACTCTTTAGTACACTAGCTATCTGCCAATAAAAGTCCCGTCAAAATCGGTTAAGCCATTTCAGAGATTAGCCAAAAAATGTACAAAAATGTTACTTTAGTATGTGTATTGTATAGTATGTATATTCATATGCATGTACTAAAAAGCGGTTATTTTAATATTACAAATAGACACTCAAATTTTATTTATCAGTTTAGATTAGATTCTATTTAAGGCTTAAGTCACATCACGCAATTTTCATTAAGTTTCAGTTCATTAGCACGTATTTGCGTCCATTTGACAAATACCAGCATCGGCAGGCAGATCTATTGGAAAACTAGCATTTTATTTTCAACTACGATCTTCAACCATGGAAAAACGTAAAAATTATGGCAAAACCTATTTTAGAAGAGAATAATACCAGCAGTAGATTGACATGCTGTTTGTGTAAATGTAATTACTTATTTAGTTTAATGGACAACTATTGTAGAGGGCGTAGTGACCTGCCTACGAGTACGTCTCCTCTACAAATAAGCTTTTTAGGAAATTAATGCGTCTACAATTCCATAGGTCAGCAATTACCGAGTCGATAGTATCAACTAAATAAGTGCGTAATAAAAGGCTTTGTGTAAATACACGACGTCGTAAAATTACTATTAAACCTAAGTAAAAGTTCATAGTGATATTTTGAAAAGGTCAATGTTTGTAGGTCTGTCGTGTAATAAACGTATTATTAAACTGATTAGGTATTGAAAAAGTTTCTGTTAGTTTAACGGCGAAAGAAAAAATATTTGGTACAATACCAGGCACAAACACAATACAATACAATGCAAACAAAAAAAAACACAAAATAGATGTAAGTATATACTAAACTAGCTACTTCCGCGCGGTTTCACTCGCTCTGCTCGGCGCCTATTAATCGTAGCGTGATATTTTATACCCTATAGCCTTCCTCGATAAATGGGCTATCCAACACAGTAAGAATGTTTCAAATCGGACCAATATTTTCTGAGATTAGCGCGTTCAAACAAACAAACAAACAAACAAAAAAGCAAACTTCAGCCTTATAATATTAAGTATAGATTAGTATAGATTTAAAATTTAAATACACTACTAACAATAATCGTTTTGTGCGAGACAGGTGCTGCAATAAAGGTCCAGTTCAGCATAAATGCCAGACATCTAGTGCCTGACGCTGGTGCAGTGGGACCGTATGCAATGAGTCAAATATGCGGCTATCAGTTAGACTAACAGCAACTTCGACACTGAAATAGATCTCAGATAAAAGAAAAAATGCAAATTAATTGGATATGATATTGCGTCCCCAGCTAGACAGCTCTTAGGAAACCCACGGGAAGAGAATGGGTGGTGACCAGTGGCGTAACTACAGGGTGGCAAGTCAGTACAATGCCACGGGTCCTCAGCCAGATGTTCAGATGTTTTCATCTAAACTTCTCTATTATTTATTGGGAACGGGACTCCATCCGATGAATGTACCACGGTCCTCGAACTGAATAGTTTTTTTTTTTTTTTAAAAAACGTTGCCCCACACTAGGATTTTCTCCTGTGTCGTGGGTGCGTTTACAAACATACACAAAGACAACAAAATATAATTAGAATAATAA